GGGGGGAAAATCCATGTGATTCACTCCAAGATATAAATGTGGAGTAAAAACTTAAAAATGCACAACTAGAGTGCTTAGAGGATGTAATTTCTGCTTAGTTGAATTTATTTCCCCCCCAAAATTCCTAAAATATATCTAGTGGCTTGAACGTAGCCTGATAATTGATGGCCTGTATGGGGGGCTCCCACCATGTTCCACTACAGGGGGCAGGTTTAAGCATATCTCATTTTTAGAGTGCTATAATACGTCATCTGTGACCTTAACACAGCTTAAGTTCTTCTCTATGAGCACTTCCTATTCACATTTTCCACTTCACCACTGAGCATCACTGTCTGTGTCACACTCCTGACTTCGACACCAGCAACATCACCAAAACCAGGGAACTTGCTAGAAATGCTGATTGATACATGTTCCTGCCCAGATTTGTTGCCCAGCAATTTGCTGTTAACAAGGCTTCCACGTGATTCTGATACATCTCAAGCTGGGAAAACATTATTACTACCGAATCCTCACTTGCTGACATGAAAGCACGGAGGGCTTCTTAACCTGGGATCTGTGACTGCTCTTAAGTTGAACACAAATGTCCACTGGAGAGAAGCTGCACAGCTGTCAACTTTCCCAAAGGAATGGCGACCAAGAAACTGAACTCTGCTTTGAATCACCAAACTCAGCAGAATTCACTTCTGCAAATATATGCCAAGCCAAGATATTCTCCAAGCCTTAACAGCACTTAAACAGTTGCGGCACAAACAATAGTAAAAACTCCATTTTTTGTTACAGAAAAAATTTTTTTGTATGGTAGACCAATTTTCCCAAAAATCTCTTGCAGTAACATTAACAAACACTCTGGTCTACAGGCTGATTCAACAAGGTCAGAAAGGCAGGTAAATTATAAACTCCTGAACTTAACGAGGAGTAAAAGGATTCAAATGTTTACTGACTGCCTACCACACAACTGGAACCAGGCTTCAAACACTTTACAGGAGAGTGAACCTAAGTTCTGTTTATCTTAACAGAACAGCACTGATACTATCAAGTAAGCCCCCGTTTTAAATGCTCTTTAAGTACAAACCGTGGAGACAATGGTGGAGAACCCGAGCGTACACCAAAATCACAACTGTTGATCTGTCAATTAAAAAGGCTGGAATCTACAAAAAGATACTCTACAGTCAAAGACATAATGAGCCCCATACCAGGCTCCCCAGACTGGGGGTCCAGCATTAGGAGGAACCCCCACAGCATTTGGCTTTGAAGGCCAGTAGGGTTTGGTCGCAGGAATCCCCAGCACTGAGGGAAAAGGAGACTTCACTCCGGGAGGCCGCACACAATGTCCAGCATGTGACAAAAGCGGCAACCCCACAGAAGATGGGCCAGACCTACCTGCTGGTCTTCGAGGGTCTCCTGGGCAGGTGGGGAGCAGCTGTGGCTCTCTGGGGTCATATAAGCTGGCGGCAGACGCAGCTGGGACCTATGTTAACTCCAGCTAGAAGCAGACATTTTTTCCATCTTTGGCTGGGAGACCTGGCCCCGTCCGACAACCTGTGGGCTCCTATTCTGGGACTCACAGGCCAAACAACCCACAGGGCAGGAACAGAGCCCCACACCACCTTTAGACACGTCCCTGCCCACTAAAGGGCCAAGACCCAGCTCCACCCACGAGTGGGCGTGGGCCAGCACCTCCCACCAAGAAGCCTGAAACAAACCTCTAGACCAGCCTTGCCCACCAAGCGGCAAACACCAGAAGCAAGACAACTAGCAATCACTGATCAGAACCCACCCGGGTCCTCGGCCCCTGGGTGACAAGAGGGAAGTGTACTGCTGGGACACAGAACATCTACAGGGGCCACTTCTTCAAGAAGCCTAACTACGCTACTACACAGATAAAAATACAAACAGAAATTTAAAAATGAGATGGCCACACAGTAGGTTCCAGATGAAGGAACAAGATAAAACAAGATAAAACCCAGAGAACTAAGTGAAGCGGAGGTGGTCAGTGGCCAACCTACCAGAAAGCGTTCACAGTAATGGCTGTAAAGGTGATCCACAAACTCGGGAAATGGACGCACAGTGAGATTTCAAGAAGTTTTCAGCAAAGAGAAAATATACAGAGCAACCAAGTAAGAGCTGAAGACTCTAAGTACAAACTATGGAACCAAATGGCAGATCTTTGTCCAAGGAAGCATGCCAATGTGCACTAACATTTTCATTTCCAAAGACGTAAATGCAACTTTAAGAAACGACAACATCTAAGCTATTCCACTTGACTTAAATCTTGGGTTGAGCCCCATTTAGCCAGCATCCCCACCATTGCCTGGTTCCATCACTATGTGAGTGTTCAGCAATTAAGTGTCTAGAAGGAAAAAAACTTTTGGTATCAGCAGTAGTTTTTAACACAATATAGCTATAGCTTTCAAAAGTGGTTATCTAATTTTTCATGCCAAACAGAAGGGGTAAAGTGGGAAGTGACTCATTTTCTTGGGCTTCAAAATCACCATGGACAGTGACCGCAGCCATGAAATTAAAAGGACACTTGGTCCATGGAAGGAAAACTATAGCAAACCTAAACAGCGTATTAAAAAGCTGTCTTTGGCAAAGACATCACTTTGCCAAAAAGGTCTGGTTTTTCCAGTAGTCATGTACAGATGTGAGAACTGGACCATAAAAAAGCCTGAGCACCACAGAACTGATACTTTTGAATTGTGGTGCTGGAGAAGACTCTTCAGAGTCCACTGGACTGCAGGGAGTTCAAACCAATCAATCCTAGAGGAAATCAGCCCTGAACATTCACTGGTAGGACCAATGCTGAATGAAGCTGAAGTTCGAACACTTTGGCCATTTGATGCGAGGAGCCGACTCACTGGAAAAGACCCTAATGCTGGGAAAGACTGAAGGCAAAAGAAGGGAGAGGCAGAGGATGAGATGGTTAGATAGCATCACTGAGTCAATGGACATGAGTTTGCGTGAACTCCGGGAGATAGTGAAAGACAGGGAAGTCTGGCATGCTGTAGTCCATGGGGTCGCGATGAGTCTGACACAACTTAAGTGAGAACAATTTTTAAAGCACCAAAACTGTCATTTAAGAAAGATGTACTGGGCAAAGTCAGCTCTACTATAAGCACTTTCCTGCCTCTGCTGTAAGCATTAAGCAAAGCTGATTATTTTCCATAAAGCCAAGTGACACCTAGCTTGGGCTGCACGAGGGTTCACAAAGGCATACAAGAAGCATCCCCTCCTGAAAAACCTAGGTCGACCCCTCCTCCTCCCTTGGCCAGCTGTCTGCCCCTTGCTCTTTCCTCACCTGTAACCCCCGACTGTCCCAGTCCATCCCCTTTTGGCAAATGCAGGACAGAACACTGCTTCCTAGCTGCATGGCCAATCACGGACTGAGCACCACTGGACTATTTTGGATTTGGAATCCTACTAGGAAAATGAACCGATCAACAGGATTGTAGCAGCGTTCACCTCATCCCACCTCACCCCCCAAAGAGCATGCAGGGCTGCCACTGAAAACAAGCACTGTTTTGGGTTCAGGATCACAAGCCTGAAAGGCTCCTGAGGAAGAGTTACCAGGAAGCGTGAGTGGCCTAGTCTGATGTTCTTATTGCACAGATGAGAATATCGGAGCCCAGAGACGTAACACGGACTTGCCCAAGGCTGGGTGACTATCCAGATGCGGAAGCTAAAACCATCCTCCAAACTCCTTCCGCTACATCACAACCACCACAAAACCCTATTAAGAAAAAATGTCGAGTACATAGAAAAGGTCTCTCCACAGACTTTCAGACAGAGTAAAGGCAATCTGTACAATGAGAAATGCCACTCAAGAGACACCACTAAGTACCAAGGATCTTTATTCTTAGGTCTGATATTCAATCTGTGGCTGCAGATAATTCGTCACTATGTAGAGAATAAAAGGTCCCGTTATCTTCATTCAAGTCTTCAGCCACAAAGTTACACCTTATTCTCACACAAGATAAGGGTTGGTAGGGGATTAAGGAGGTACAGAGGAGAAAAGCAAAAGGGAACAAACACTTTTACAAGCATATCGTCCCAGTTACTGTGAAGGTTACGTTTCAGGTTATTTTACAAAAGTAGTGACAGAACCATGATTTCAGTGAAAATCAACACGTTATACCTCTTAAAAAACCAATTCAGAAATACTAAGTCAGGCAAGCATGCAAAATTCAGAGTATAAAAAAATGCAAGGGCTGGCGGCCCAAACAGGTATTTCCCTCAGAAAGAGGGATTTGAAAATGCTGCACAGAACCAAAGGAATTAGAAGCTGAATTAGCAGACCCATTTCCTCAGTTTATATATGAGGCAAGTGGGCAGACATTAACTGGTAAAGCTTACTTAGCCAGATTAAGAATATATAGACATCTAATTCCTGGTGCTATCTGCAACTACATGTATCTAAAATACAAGGAGATAAATATTCAGAACACATCAAACCCACTGATTTAAAGAAAACATTCAAGGGTGGGGGTGAAGTTGTTATTATAGCATAGCAGCACATTACACATATTTAAGAGATTAAATGGAAAGAAATAATCTCTTATTTTAATGCTCAGTTTTGATCAACACAAGTTTCCAGCCAACTTTCTGATGTAGAGCAAAACAAGTATATTCTTCAGTTTTCTTCTACACTTTTTTGGGCCTATCTTTCAAAACTGAGCACTGGGTATTTTTAATGTAAGTAATGGGATGTTATACGTACATTCTAATTACACATTTTAGGAATAAACAAAATGCATATTTCAGTAATTCATAGTGTATTTATAAAATGAAAAGCTCTCTATGAAAATACACTTTTCACTGGGAAAAATAAATAAAACAGACAAATGGATCTACACAAAGTAAAAATTAACTTTGGTAGACTTCACTGTGGAGGACAGTCCATAACAAGCTCATCTGCCCTTACTCCCCCAGAGCTGATCATCTTCCGAGTTAAGATTTTAAAAATATGTTTTAATTGATATCATTATGTTGATATCTGTTTCTCATTCCACATCATCTTCAGCCAAGCTCTGAGCACTTACAATTCTCTGAAAGAGAAAATATTTATACATTTATAAATACTTATAAATTTTTAAAAGTATAAGCATTTAACCAGGATTCTACGTTAAGCATAATATGCTTTTTTGATCTCTGAATCAAATCTCACTGAAGTTAACCCATACTGAAATATCAATATTTAACACTTCATACACCATTTTTACTTAAGAAAATAATCTTTGTCAGCCCCATCTCAAAATTCAAGTCAATAAAATAAAGGAAGCGTAACATTATATTGTGTTATGTTAGTCAATTTTTTAACTAAAAAAAGAATTTAAGATTTCTATTCACTCCCATATGAACTAAAAATAATGATTAGTGTTTTAGTGACCATTCTATCCTCCAAACATTTCCCTTTCTGGCCTGTAAATCGTCAGTCCTTATACAAAGAAGGAATACAGTATTCCGAAATATTAGTATTTTGAAAATATTGCCACGTAACATGGCACAAGTGAACTAAATAAAAGAGGCCATTCTTATTGAAGAATTCAAGGTTCATCCTAAAATCACCCATATTTCAAAAGACATCATCCTCAGGTCAATTTTCCAAAAGTACTATGTTATGCTGTCTTTCAAAAGGTGAATAATGTTAACAGGATTCTGACAACAGACTGGGAACCACATTCATTATGATCGAAAAATAAAATAAAAAGGATCAAAATCCAGTTTCTTGCCCTTTCAATTCTTTCCTTTAGATCTTTGGGACCTTTTTCTTCTCAGTCTTTTTCCAATCCAGATGAGTAAAAGCTCAGTTTAAAGAATTAACCAGTCATTTTTATTTTCAATTATATCAACCATGAAAATTCATTTAATAGACATAATATTCCAAAAAGTAGAGTCACTGGGGCTCCTTGAGTATTTAAAATGAATGGGCTGCGTTTTAATCAACTTCTAAGTTATGTTGAACCTATTCTATCAATAAGGATGTATCCGAAAGCTCTAAACTCAAAGCCTAACTCAGCATTAACAGAGACACTGAGGCCTTCAGCTAAGGGAAGTCTGAGGGAGCCACAGGCCTTCAAGGATCTGATTTCTAGGCTATGCCATCTTGGCTCCTTTGTCCTTTGCCACTTAACCGAGAGGTCTCACAAAAGAGGCGGTGGAAAGCTAGGTTTAGAAAGCAGCTGGGAATGATCTCAATTTGGGGATCTGAACATCAAGGTGTGAGATTTAGCACTAAAGGGACTTACTTCCAATCATCCTCCTGGGCACGATCACTAGATTTTGTGCCCCTTAGTTCGGATGTTTTTCTATTAGTCAAGCACTGACATCTCTAGTACTATTTTCATTACACGGAGGAGAGTCTCATGTCATCATGTTCACTAGGCTCATTTTTAAATGCCAAACCCTCAGATTCTACTCACTTATGTAACATTCAAATCTTTACCTGACTAATTGTTGGGAGCTTAGTCAGAAGCATCTGGAACACTGGTGGTGGAAGAGTTTGTTGCAACACTTGCAGTAACTGCTGTGGCTGTCCACACACAGCAATTGCATTTGTCAGATGGTCCACACCCTTCTCATATTCACCTGCAAGATTTACATAAAAATACTGTGTAACTGGAAAAGCCTTTGCCTTTATCCAAAATTCAACCCTAAAGTCTTCACTATAACTCCAAGTGATAATGACCAAAAACATCATGCAGGTGAAATCTAGAAAATACAGTACACTCGTATAACTAAGAAGCCACCAACAAGACTAAGTCAGATTATGTGTATGAGGGATTTCAAGAACACTTTCAAAGGGGGAGAAATTAAGGTACAGAAATGTCTAAGTTTATTACTAGATATATACTGGGTATTTCTCAAAGATTACTTAAGCTTCTAACAATGAAACAGCACATTTTTATGAGGAGAGGGAACTGGAAGACTGGGGGACTGAAGTGGACAGGCCCAATTTCACTTTAAACTAACCCCTTATACTATGTGAATATTACCACACGCAAGTAGACACCCAAAGGCCTTTAATCTCTTCTGAACCTAGTCATCATTGGCGGCCATCCTCTCTGCAGACCCAACAGCAAGCAATGCCTAAGAATCCTGTATATCCAAGATACACTGATACAATGACACAACCTCAATAGTGGTCAACCTGTCATCTTGAGCTTCCTTCACATGGAATGTTGCTACAACTTTCATAAAACTTCTGTTGACTGGATGGCCAGGTCTCAAGTGGTACCTTGAGAAACAGCATAGAAAGCAGCATTTAATCTACTTAGGACATAGCAGAGCAAGATCAAACCAAGTGTTACGAGATGAAAGTTACCATCTGCTCCTCTGCTGGGCAGAATGCTCTCCCTTTCCTCAATGCCTAGGCTCTCTCTCAGGAAATTCAAAGTGCAGCCTGAAGGAGACCTGAAAATATTTCCCTGGTTTATCTCATGTTCTCCTACACTTGTTATACACAGTTTCACTGATTCTCTTATTCATTGAGTGTTGATCTTTCTAGGCTTGCTAAGTAATTTAATGTAGGGACTGGACCATTTCTAACTCTTCAGGTGAAAATAAACAAATTCTAATTATGTTAAAAACTTATTCCTTAGGATTCTGGGACGGTAAATATATCCAAGGCTAGGAGGGTGGCACCTCCAGAGAAGGCATGAAAGTTCTCCACCCCCTAACCCCGTGCATCTCCTGCAGCTGGTTACTCCTGAGTAGTATTATTTATAATAAACCAGTGAAGACAAAAGTTTTCCAACCCTGAGTACAAATGGGACCAAGTAAGGGACTGGTAAATGAAGAGGAACTGCCTGCTACATAACATTTTTATTTAAACTACTCAAACTGAAGAAAGCTTTAATTCTACAAAGAAGCATTAAAAACGGAAAATATAAGGCGCAGGTCTTCCACATAGGACTGGACCTCCATCAGGGACACAATAGCTCCACTAACTTGGAAATTAAGATGCCCCAATGGCCACCAATCCTCAGGCCACTGAATTTATAGGCAATAGAGGAGCTCACAGTATTGTCTGGGAATATTAATTCTGATTATTAAATGGAAATAAATGGAGCTGCTACCAGAGTGGTAGAACCCAGGGGATCCTCAGTTGAGACACCTCCTAAAACTTCTAAACACACTGGAAACCGTATGAACAATCACAGCAATTTAGTTCAGAAATGAAACAATTTCCTCTCCCCACTGCAGCCTTGATCCTCCTCACCTATCCCGAGATACCGCTCAGTTATTACGGATGAAGACACCTGCACAAGGGAGGCCATGTCAAGCAATGAGGCTCACTGTCTAAACTGCTTATGCTTTCTCATGGCTTACCTTTCCTTAATTCTAACCTCAGGCTGGTTCTGTGGATTCCACCAGAATAAAGGCAGCTTGGCAGCTGAGTTACATAACTCTTGGGGGTGTGCTAGGCTGAAATGTGGAATATAAGCTTGAAATAAAGAACAAAAAACATTTCCCTATCCTCTCCTGACCCCCTCACTCCTCTCACCATGAGTTAACTGTTCTTGTCACTATAGATCTAACAGCTCAAGTCAAAGAGAAACGGCCACACCAAGTGGCCGTTAGATAATTAAGTAATTGGGAGAGCATTACAGTAGCTTAGATAAATTTTTTTTACATTATGTTTATTTTGGAGGCTAGAAGGAAAATTTGATAAACTGACATCTTTATGAGCATGAAGAAATACTGACAGTATCTTTACATAAATTGAAATATTACAATCTCTATCCTTAGACACAGATATCATTATACATGCTTTATTTTTCTTTCGATATTAAAATAATGAAATTATAGTCTCTCAAATGATCTTTATGAGGACTTACGTGCTTTACTTTGCCCAATGATTAAAAATCTACAAATGACCTGCACCATGTAGTTCAATAATGTCAAAATCTATTATAATACAAGGGTGAGAATAAGAAAAACAAGCTAACACTTGATACCATTTCTACTAATGACAGCAACTGTTTCAAAGCTACTTTTGTGATAAAAGCTATTATGACAATAAAAATATACATTTAAGACACTCAATTATTGAATGAATTATGGTTCTCAAATTTGAAAAACGATCATTTGAATTTCATAATTTTTTAGAAAGAATTCTTAATTCTATTGATGGAACACATTTAGATCGCTGTTTCTGAAAATCATATGCCATTAACTGTGTAACCTTTAACTGGCAAACTAACCTTCTCTGGGATGTATTATATTAGTCATTCCTTCCTATAGGTACTGGGAAAGATCTGAAGATCAGATGAAGGAGTTGAGGAAATTATATTCCCAGATATTTCTCTGTTACTGTTTACGTATTACAATTGACTATATTTTTTTAAACTACTTTAAAAGCAACCTCATTTGTAAAGATTACTTATTTTCCTTGCATTATTAAAAGCCTCATATTATTAAATGCCTAAAAACTTTTCTTGAAATATTTAGAATATCCCTTTAAAAAAATTTTTGTATTGAAGTATAGCTGACTAACAATGTTGTGATGGTTCCAAATGAACAGCGAAGGGACCAAGCCACACAAACATGTATTCATCCCCCTCAAACTCCCCTCCCATTCAAGCAGCCACATAACATGAGCAGAGTTCCATGTGCTATACAGTAGGTTCTTGTCGGTTATCCATTTTTAACATAGCAGTGTGTACATGTCCAACCCAAAGTCCCTAACTATCCCCCATCCCAGAAATTTTAAGAATATTTTTTAAAACTAGCTACACTGCACCAAAAAAAGCCCCTTATTACCATAAATTTAGTGTGAAGATTTTTATCTATTTTCCTAGTCTTTCAATGACTATTAATTACCTTGAGCTAGTAATTCTTCACCAAGCTGTATTTCTTCTAGAAAGAATTTCTGAACGGCTTCAGCATCTTTAAGGTCAGGTAACTGTTTGGAAATAGAATATTTAATAACAGGTTTACTCTAGGGATATACACAACACAAAAAAATTATGCCATTAAAAAGCCAGCTCATTATGAAAGCTGACAAAAAGAAATTTACTCTTCAACAACACTCAAGGATAGGAGTTTAATATCTACTTTCAAATAAATGCAAGAAAAAGTCCTTTTTGATAAAACTGGTGTTTGAACAGTTATTAGAAAACTGTGAATCAAACCTCAAGTAAAAAGAGAGTACAGATATATCTTTACCACAAAATATGAACTTTAAAACTTACATTATTTTTTGATGGCTATTATCATAGATTTTTATATAACTATATTGAGGAATATATAACTGTATAATCATGATCCATTTGTTAGGCATTTGAGCTGCTTCTGATTTTTGCTATTTCAAACATGCAGCTTGATTTAAATAACTTTGCCTGTGTTTTTGTTTTGTGGTTTGTTATATATTACCAAATTGAATGATTACAATATATAAAGTCACCAGCTACATGCATTATCTTTGTAAAAAATGTAAACCAAGTATTTAAAAAGTCCCTTTTTATTTAAAAACCTAGACTACTAATGGAAGTTTCTGGTTCTTGAGTATTATCATATACTCTTATTACAGGTGTGTACAGTTATCAGACACCATGCTATGCTATGTACACAGTACAGTGTAAATACAACTATTATATGGACCAGGAAACCAAAAAATTCACAAAGTCTCTTTACAGCAGTGGTCTGGAACCAAACCAGAAATATCTTTGAATTATACCTGTAACACATCCATTTTCTATATCCTTAGGAAGAAAAGCCTACTGAAAACATAATGAATACATTCCATAGTTTGGACATAACAGGGAAACAAAGTGACTGCCTCCCAGTTTCACCTTGCTATTACCGTATCAAGTCAGTTAGCTGTGTTAATTACTCAAATCTAACATTATGGACATTTGTTACATATGTACATAAATGTAAACTGATCTAATCTTTTCACTGCTTCAACTTGCTTTAAAAAGAACTACTACTACTACTAAAAAAAAAAAAAAAAGAACTACTACTGATCCAGTAGGTCAAAGTCCTGGATATCCAGATGATGGAACTAATTTCAATTAAAAAAAAAAAAGCTATATGCCCAGTGATTAACATTTACCTATACATATCACATGACGCTCTTTATAAAATAGACAAATCTATGTAGTCATTAAAAATAATCATGAACATAGGATCTATGAAAAGAAAAAAATGAGTAAGGCTTATGTCTATATTTACATATTACAAGGTAAAAATTTGACAGGCAGTGGGATTGTGGATCAGTGGGTGTGACTAATCTTATGTAACTTTCAAAATGAGTAAAGTCGTTCTTCTAAAGAAAGTTTGGAGGAAAGAAAATTAAATTAGTAATAAATGTTTTGTTATTTGGAAGTAGCTAAGTGAAAAAGTTTGAACTTTGGGTAAGTGTCTTCAGATCCTATCATCTTACCGCCCTCAAATATTGTTCACACAGTAAGTTGTCTGCTATGAGGCTGACAAAGGGGAAATAAGGAAGGACTGGAAAATCTGCAGGGGAACAGTTCTAATAACTATTCTTATAAAGAAATTGTTTTTTTTTTAAAAAAAGAAAGATATTGTGTTTTAAAACATAAAATCAGTGTCAGATACTAATTAGCTTCCTCAAAATATATATTTGAAGCAGACTATTAAAAAAACAGATTATTACCTTGGAAAGCCCAGCTCTCTCCTTGGCAAGCTTTTGTTTCTTTCTTCCTGCAAAAAAGGGAATATTTTAATTTTATTATTATTAAAATGGAAATCAAAAGAAGTCTAATTGCTGTGGTACTCATTCTATTTGCAAAACAGGACCAACTCAGGCTTTTCTTCTTGTGATTTGTCAGGGTCATAAAAATAGTTCAGGTCAGCTACCGGCAATGGGACATTCCTGGACAGAAGCTTTGTCCTTCCCTCTGGGGTACTGGGATCGGCAGTTCGAAAAATAGAGATAATTAAGAGACTCAGCTGTTGGAACCATCATAAGTAGAGAAAGTCTCTCTCCACCACCTCCAAAGGACAGGAAACATGACCAAGAATCAAGCCTCTGTTGTTATGATGGAGTTTTATTACGGAAATATAACTGACCCTGCCTTTACTAAATTCTGAAAACTATCTGGGATTATTAAATAAGAAAAGAATTTTTTTAAAAAAACAGCATTTGAAAAAGCTTTCTTCAGAAAAAGAGCACAGTATTTATGCATTTGGCAAAGGTAAGGGCGAAGAAAGGCAGCACTCAAATAATTACTGCCAGTTAAAGGGAAAAAACCTTCGCCCTTACAGTCGGTAGGTTGTTTTTGTTTTTGACATGAAATAGTAATACTACAAACTCAGGAGTAAGTGACATTGTTTAAATCAATTAGTCAATCTTTAAAATCAAATCAGTAGTAAGACACTAACAATATTTTAAGCTGCTGTTTAATTGCCTGGGCTTCCCTGGTAGCTCAGAGGTAAAGAATCCGCCTGCAATGCAGGAGACCTGGGTCCATTCCTGGGTCAGGAAGATCCACTGGAGAAGGGACAGGCTGCCCACTCCAGTACTCATGCACTTCCCTGGTAGCCCAGCTGGTAAAGAATCTGCCTGCAGTGCAGGAGACCTGGGTCCAACCCCTGGGTTGGGAAGAACACCTGGAGAAGGAACGGCCACCCACTCCAGCATTCTGGCCTGGAGAAGTCTGTGGGGAAGCAGAGCTGGACACGGCTGAGTGACTCTCACTTCGACTGTGTGCTCCATGACAAAGGCTGCTGGCGCAGGGGAGCTTGGGCTTCCTGTACACCCCGGATCGTCCACTGGCCAGCAGTGTGACCGTGGACAACGTACACTTGCCTTACTACGCCTCTTTCTCCTCATGTGAACCTGGTTTAAGAACATTACCTGCTTCAGAGTCAATATGAGGATTAAATGAGTTCCTGTATTTTCAGTGCCTGAGATATAAGCACTCAGGACTGAGCTCAATGCCAACCAACTCCTCAGCTAAGGAGCTGCACTACGCTAAGTAGTCAGGTTCGTTTCATTAACCAGTAAAAATCAGCAAAGGCACCATGTGGCTAAGAAAGGTAAAGCTCTAATACTTACTACCGGGGTCTTCAGCAAATAAATATCAACTCTCAAAAGATCAGACATACTTTATTACTGTGAGAAACAAAAGTCATAAAACAAGCAAATGTCCTCTTAAAACCTTAAAGCATTCTATAAATCCAATTTTCAATGCATGAGTAGAGAGGCGGTGACCTAAGTGCACACAAATGGTTCATTTACTCTGGTCAGCGAACCTTTTCTAACTTGTATTTACAAACTAGGTTTACCACCAGTATCTCTAGCAACTCTAGCCCCCAGATTACATAACTAGGTTTACCACCAGCATCTCTAGCAACTCTAGCCTCCAGATTACATAAAGTGCTACAACTCTAAGGCCTTAGCACTTTCAAAAATACATATATAGGTTAAAGCTGATCTTACAATTATTTTGTTCATCATTAGGCAACTGTGGAGAAACAGAATATATAACCTCCATTAAGGTTCAGCTCCCTTTTGGCAGAATGACACCAGACTATATTAACTAGTTACTATAAGACCATGATACAAACGTGCTAGGAAGAATACTAAGATTGGACATGGAAGACTTGATGTTAAAGATAAGCACTTGTTTTAGATTCAAGAGAGACACTATCCTACATGTTACTACTGAGCTTATTTAGCCTCTCAGCAGGACAGGAGGACAGGTGACTAGTATTATCACCATGTTATCACAGAGATAATTTACCAAGATCACAACTAATGGGTGGTGGAGTGGCGACCCAAACAGGCAGCAGGATTTCAGCACACATGTGCTCAAACATTACACTGCAGAGAAGTGAAGATATGCCCATCAATATAAAAGGCATCTCAGAAAGAAACATGGCAAGTTTGTGGAATAAACAGAGATATACAATTTGCTACATCAGAATTTACAGAAAATGACAAAAGTGATAGTAGTAGAAAAAAGCCTGACTTCCAAACACACACATATATATATGTGGTTTTTTAATGGAGTGGAGAAGAACGTATTATTGTTGCTGAATGCTTGGTAATTACCAAATTTTAAGCTTGCTTAGCTGCTTTAAATTTACAGCAATAAGATTATTCTCACTTTACTTTCCTAAGACAACTAACTTGTTACATCAACTTATTTATCAAATAGTATCTCTGACAAACGGGCAGATAACAGACTGAAAAATCAAGGAGCTACTACATATTCAATCAGCAGACTGACACAATATTTGCGATAAATCAGTCCAAAGTGTGTCTGTGTAAACCTAACAAGTTAAAACAGACCAAAAAAATACACATAAAATATAAAAAGTCCCGAATCTAAAGCAATCATTTAAAGGAGATTACTTCATATATTTTAAAATGAATCATTTCATACAGTGCTGTAAAATGAAAAACATCTGTAGTTGGTACTTTGTAGGTTTTCATTTATTAGTGATTATTTAGATAAAAATTATGCTGTAGGAGTTTCTGGTAATCTCACACTAATGGAAGGTAAGAAAAAAAACTGAATACATTAGTCTTGATTTAACTTCAAACCTATTTTAAACAGCCTAAATCTCTTTTCCTAAAAACGAAACCAAAAAACCTTCAGAAACACTGATTTGAAAAACTCTGTCCTCTTATTACAGATGTCAGTCAGTTCGAGGCTCAGTCCGACTCTTTGAGATGCCATGAACTGCAGCACACCAGGCTTCCCTGTCCGTCACCAACTCCCAGAGCTTGCTCAAACTCACGTCCATCTAGTCGGTGATGCCATCTAACCATCTTATCCTCTGTCCTCCCCTTCTCCTTTCTTCAATATTTTCCAGCATCAGGGTCTTTTCCCATGAGTCAGTTCTTCGCATCAGGTGGCCAAGTATTGGAGCTGGAGCTTCAGCATCAGTACTTCCAATGAAGGTAGGGTGTGTAAGCCCCACCACAAAGCCACTGAGCAGACAACACACAAACTGGATAACAATTATACCAAAGAAGCTCTTGCACTGTTGGGAAAGTTCTAGGGTCTGCAAAAGATTTCCCAATGTGGGGATCCTGCAAAGGAACTGAGAAGCCCCAGGGAATCTGATTCTGGAGGCCAGTGGGATTTGATTACAGAACTTCCACAGGACTGGGGAAACAGACTCTGGGAAGGCACAAACAAAACCTTGTGCTCACCAGGACCCAGAAGAAAGGAGCAGAAACCCCACAAGAGACTGAGCCAGACTTGCCCATTGAGTGTCCAGGAGTCTTCTGCGTAGGCGTGGCCTGCTGTGGGGTCGGGGCACTGAATACAACAGTCCTGGCATAAGTCCTTTTGAAGGAGGCCATCATTACCCCTATCATAGGTCAAACTACCTGGAGGGAACTCAGTCCCACCCATCAACAGAAAATTGGGTTAAAGATTCACTGAACAAGACCCAGATTCCCCCCAGTTAGTCTCTCTCAACAGGAAGCTTCCACAAGCCTTTTATCCTTATCTAGAGAGCAGACAGAATGGAAACCACAATTACAGAAAACTAACCAAACTGATCTCGCAACAAACTGTGGACCACAGCCTTGTCCAACTCAATGAAACTATGAGCCATAGGGCCACAGTAAAGAGTTTTGACAAAATGTGGTCCACTGGAGAAGGGAATGGCAAACCACTTCAGTATTCTTGCCTTGAGAACCCCATGAACAGCATTACAGATATAAATATTCTATTAGAAATTAAGCTAAGAAAATGAAAAATTAACTAAATTAACTAAACTGAAATCAATTACATCACACAAATACAAAATACCCTCAAGTTCTTAAAATGAATCAACCATACAGACTTTAAATAGACTGCAAAATCACTCTTTACTTGCTAAAGAAAATACAAAGTAAGAATTATATTCATAAACAATCTTTAGCATTCATCAATTACCATGTGTCAGGTACTATATTAAATTCTACATTATAATTTTTTTTTTAAAGAAGGAAACTAAAGCTTGAAATTTGTTGCCCAAGATTATCCAGCTACTAATTCAAGCCTGAACACTTTATTAGGCTACTACTGAAACTAGAAACTCATGGATGATTAAAAAAAAAAAAACCATGAAAATAACAGATTTCTCAATTTGTTCAAAATGACACCTTTTATTATTTCTTCAACCAAAAATTAGTTTTCTCAAGGTTTTCAATAACAGGATTCCAACGATTCCAAAGGAAGGGTTAATCCATTCTTTACAGAGATCTACTACCACACCACCACTGCCCAACTATTTCTTGGAAGCTACAGGAAAATGATAAAAATTCCAATAATTACATTTACAGCAGAAGTTTATAGGATCGTCTCCATGTCAAGAATGGTGGCGAGCACATCAAACATTTTAATCTTCACAAAACCAACAAGAGGCAATACCTGATTTTGCAAGCTAAGAAAATTAAGACTCAGAAAACCCAAGATCATACTGTTAATCTGTGACGAACCTGGGTCAGGAAACTCAGTGTCTGAATCCAAAGCAGCGTTATTTCCATTAGTCTACCTAACCATAAATAAAAAAAAAATCACCTCTATATCCTTTCTTCCTGAGACACAAGAGAGCCAGAATCAGATATCATATTGCAGATGGTGTAAGAGCAGCAATTTCCAGTAAGGTAGTCCTAGCCACGTGTGACCCAACTACAGGTGAAATGCTAATCATTTCTTTATATTTTTCTGGGTTTTAGTAATTGACCTATACATTCTAGTTTCAGGAACTATTCTGACTGAGCAACCCAGGTAGATTACAAATTTCTTAATGCAACAAATTTTCTTTTCCGTCGCTGCGAACGAGCATACCTCCGAAATTCGAAGATCACGAAAGGTTTCGGCGACACGATTTCCTTCTTGAAAATCTCTTTTAAAAGATGTCGCAGGTATGAAATAAGACTGAGCCACAGGAAACATGCAGCCTTTTGGACGCCCCTGCGATTTCTATAGCATTCACTCATATCTTGGAAGTCTTTACAGTGGAGCTACCAAGAGGATTTAAGAATGCATGCAACCTCATCGTTTGAGAATGATACTGAGTTGGAGTTGCAGGTTCAGTCTAAGCACAAATTCGTAAAATAAAAAAAAAAAAAACCCACAACAAAAACCCAAAAAACACCCCCCGATTTCGAGTTCGGATGAGGTGAAAACAGATAAACAGCAAAAAAGAGCCACAACCCCCTAAATTATAATACAAACGAATCTGCACTTACACGGTACATGTTTAGGGAAAACAAAATGGGAAAAACCGTTCCTCCAAAATGGAGGGACTCGTTCGCTGGCACACGGGCCGGGAACAACCCTGGGAGCGGCGCCATCACCTTTCTCCGGCATGTGTGCTCAGGGCCCTAGACCGTGCAGCACCACGCGGCCGCCCAGCACGCGGCGGGTGGGCTGGCGGGAAGCAGGGGACTAGGGCGCCGCGGGGGGAGGGGGAGGGAGGCCCAGGGAACCGGAGACCCACTCACGTTCTCGCAGCCTGTTCTTGAAGTTGGGGTCACTCCGTCTCTTGCGGTCGAAATAAATGCAGTAACCGATGAAAAGGGCCCCGCACACGCCGGCGGCGATGGCGCTGTTCCGGCCCACCATCGTCTCTCCACCGAAGAGCCGGGTCGGCTGCGGCGGGGCCCGCAAATAAGCCGTTGACCGCGAAGCCTCGGATCCGAGTGCGCGGCTCAGCCCCGACGCCCGCCGCGAGGGACGCGGAAAGGCGGAACATGCGTCACTTCCGGCCCCTGTCGCCGAGGCCCCCGGGGATGTCCGCGGCAGTGCCTGAGCGGAGGCCCCCGCGCCGCCTCTGCGCCTGCACAGGTGCTGCAACTCCCCTGTTCGCGTCGGAGTCGAGATTTTGCGCGAGGTCGCGCACGTCCTTACGAGCCTTTGAGCTTGACGTAACGAGGGCGGCACGTGGCCGTCGTTTGCACACTCCAAATTGTGTGTAGCTGACTTCCTTGCTTGTGTCTAAGATGGAAGCAAGTGCTTCCTCTTTTTATGTTATTCAGGCACCCTGTAACTCTTGTTTGAATTCAGTTTCATTTGGTTTTCAAGCTCAGTCACAGTCTGTTTTGCAGCAAGGACCATAATCTACTGATTCGATTTCAAAAGATTGTTATGGTGTAGTCTCAGGAGTGGAAGAAAATTAAATGGAGCGATCCCTGGAAAAGGATAACGGGTAAGAGACACAATGGGAAAAAAAAAGTAAAAGTTGAGCTGTCAAGTCGTCATACCCATTGAGGACATTATGTGTGTAGTTTAAATTCGAAAAGACATAGACGGGATCCTCTGAGACCTTTGGGGTGATAGGAATGTTTATTATAGACTAGTGTTCTGACACTTTATGCTAAGGAGATGGTTCATGATGGGGCTACCCTGAAAGACCAGGATTGTGATTAGAGGGTTGGGACTTTGATCTGGGTAGTATCAGCCCTGTTTCTGGGGGAAAGAGGGGAAGGAGGCTGGAGGACAACTTCATGGAGTTCAGCTTCATGACCTAGTAGTCGTGTCCGACTCTTTGCGACCCCATGACCTACATAGGGAAGCCCAAATGAAGGCTCTGGACACGGAAGCATGTGCACTTCCAAGGTTGGCAGTACTCTGTCTACTTAGGAATCAATGAGCCATGTGCCCGGAGGGTGAGGTGTTCTGCCTTCTGGGAGGTGTTCAGGGAGGGAACAACAGAAGCTTTGGATTTGGGACGCTCCCATACCTTTCCCTGTGCATACCACTCCTCTACCCTTTGGCCTGTTTTGGTTTTTCTCTTTTTTGACTGCACAGCAAGGCTTGTGAAATCTTAGTTCCCTGACCAAAGGTTGAACCCAGGACTTCAGCAGTGGAGGTGCTGAGTCCTAACCACTGAACTACCAGGGAATTCCCTGGCTGCATTTTATGTATATCCTTTTGCTGTAATAACTGTAATCATAAGTATAACATGTTCTTGAGTTCTGTGATTTCTTATGGTGAACCTGAGAGGTAGCAGGAACCTCCAAATTACTGGCTGGCTGGTCAGAAGAGTGGCCTGGAGACACGTCTCCCCCCGTATTTGTGACCAGTGTATTCTCATACAGCCATCTTGTAGGGGACTGTCCCCATAGCACAAAGTCTGGCTCACCTCTAGTGTGGATGGGGTCAAGTTATTGCAGGGCACTTATGGAGACATTTAGCTGACATTCCTAACCTAGTCCAAGAGCTTGGGAAAGCCCTTTTGCTTGAGTGATAATGAACCTGTGCACGCTAAGTCACTTCGGACGTGTCCGACTCTCTGTGACCATGGGAACCCTCCAGGCTCCTCTGTCTGTGGGATTCTCCAGGCAAAGAAAGAGTACTGGACTGAGTTGCCATGCCCTCCCTCCAGGGGATCTTCCCAACCCAGGGATCGAACCTGAGTCTCTTATGCCTCCTGCATTGGCAGGCAGTTTCTTTACCACTTGCGCCACCTGGGAACCTGAGATCCTATAAGACTGGAAATTTGATCGAAGGTACATGTACACTGCCTGGACTGGGGTGAGATGTGAAGGTGCATGTGTATCACAGCAAAGCAAATGACTGCTATCAGGGGATTACACACAACAGAAAAAAAGCTTTTCCTTATATCATGCACACACACAGATTCTTCCTAGCCTTAACAGTGCACCTCTAGAGGTGTGTCCTGAGCCACAGGTGGAACAGAAAGACTTGTAAGGCCACACAGATGACCTGAGGTCTAGAACTTGACCTGGGGCAATCTGAGATTTGTCCATTACCTTAGGACACTAAGGAAGGAACATGCTGTTCTGTATCCCTGTGGGTACATCACAGAATGCCATGTAAGTGGAAGGTCATTGCTAGAAGATAAACCAGGCAACCTGTTGATACAAAGAACAGTCAGTGCAACTCCTGTGCCTCTAAATCTCTCAACCACTACAGTGCCGGGAGCCAGCACACGAGATCCCACCCATGACAAGGTCATGAGGAGGAGGCCTGACAAGCAAGGCAGATCAGGACTTCAGGAATTTCGAAAAGCTGCCCCGGCGCTCACCTTAAAGATGATCTCTGTCTTTCTGATGCTTGCTATATTAGACCACTGCCTAATTTCTGTGACACGGGTAGAAGGCCTTCCCCGATCTCTCTCCAAACAGAATCAACTTAGAACTTTAATTAATGTGTCCGCCGGACGGCAGTATCCTATAAGATTATCCAGGATGAAAGGAGTGTTTCAATTTAGACCCGTTTGCTGGCATTCTAGCCTGCTTGGCAAATGCGTATTAATGTAACACAAAAATATTATTTTAAAAGTGGTTAGAATTGTTCATTTTAACCAGGAATGCTAAACAGGGGCTGCCTCACCAGAGCTGCAGAGTCTTTGTGTTGTAAACCTTTTAGATAAATTCAACTAATAACTTCTGCAGAAGGACTAACCTTTGTGTCCATTAAAGAATAGATTATAGGAAAACAACTTTGCATTCACCTAGGCCATAAGATGTCAACAGGCTCCAAGGCCAGAAGATAATGTATAAGACACTCACAAAGAAGTTACTGGAAACACCCTGGTTTCCTGAGGGACAAGATGATGTAATGTTAAACTTCCTTCCCCTAAAAATGTACTAACTTAGAATATAAAAGCTACAGTAAAAAATAAAGATTTGCCAGCCTCTGCCAGACCCTGCAAACACCCCCGTCTGGTCATTCTCTCTCTGTCTCTCTTTCTCTCTCTCTCTCCCTCACAGACTTGGCCCGATCAAGGCTGGTCTCACGTCTCTCTCTCGCCGCCGCCGTTCATCCTGAGGGTACCCCTGGATCCTGCTGAGGCTGGACCCCGGCACTACAGTTTTTCATACTTTTTCTCTTCACTTGTAAAACATCTGTAAGCATAGAATCCTCAAACAAAAACAGACTGTAAATCCCTGAGGCATGTTGCTTGTAAGTGGTATCCTTGGTGGGTTGTGGGTTGACCTTAGTGGGTCATCACCAGTGTTGTGAACAGAATGAAAAGTATCAGAAGGCAACATGGGTGTTAAGGACTGGTACTGTCACGTGAAACTTGTGTGTCAGATAAACATACCTGTGTCTGTGCTGATCACAGTGAAAAAGTAAAGACTCTCATAGATCATAGTCAAAAAAGTGGGAAACCACTGATCCAATCCAAGTCCCTTATTTTCTCAGTCAAGATATTTAGATAAAGAGGTTGAGGTTTGTCCAAGGTCATGCATATACAGCCAGAGAACTGCGTCAAGGATCAGATGTCCCTACACCCTAGTTCAGGGCTCCTTACATGAAAACCTAAAGACCAACACTCTATGTTAAGGACACTAAAAATTACATAAATTTATATACACTAAAAAGCATATACAATAATATACAATAAAATATATACTTTAAAGAAAACATAGTGCAATTAAAGAGGTAAGTGTATGTAGTCTACAGATAAGGCATCTTTATAGAAATTTAACTGAAAATATATGCAGAAATGTTCAAGAGCTATCAAAGGATAAATATTAACTGAACCATACTTATAAAAACAAACAAACTTCCCTAATGGTCCAGTGGCTAAGACTGCACTCCCAATGCAGGGGGCCCAGGTTCAATCCCTAGTCAGGAAACTAGATCCCACAAGCCACAACTACGGCCTGGCACAATCAAATAAATAAATATTGAAAAACAAGGTTCAAAGTGCCATAGAAGATCCTAAGCATAAAATATCCAGTCTTTGGATATCTGAAAATGAAGCCTTCTGCTTTCCACAGAGCTACATTTTAAAGACCTATTTAGGTTTTCCTTGCACAATGCCTGAAAGACAAAATTTTCAAAATAATGAGTAATAACTCACTGTCCTCCAATTCCCTTACCCACTTGTAAGTAATCAGTTGCATGTATCACAGATGAGCCTGCCTCAGATCAGCCCCCGGGTTCACTCCCACTCCTCCCTCCAGGACACAGCTTCAGCTTGGTAAGTCTTGTGAGCAGGGGTACCAGCTATATGTCATAAGGGTAAATCTCAACGGAATGCAATGCTATTCTCTCACCTGGTTGAACTTCACACTTTGTGACTTCAGTACCATACTTTTCCAGGAAATTGTTTCTATGATTTTTTTAAACTTATTTTTTGGTCACACTGTGTGGCATGTAGGATCTTGGTTCCCTGACCAGGGGTCAAAACCTGCGCCCCCAACATTGGAAGGTGGTCTTAACCCCTGGACCACTGGGTTGTTTTTTTGTTGTTGTTTTTTTAGTCACTAAAGTCAAGTCTGACTCTTTCCGACCCCGACTGCAGCACACCAGGCTCCTCTGTCCTCCACTGTCTCCCAGAGTTTGCTCAGATTCATGTCTACTGAGTCAGTGATGCTGTCTAACCATCTCATCCTCTGCCAACCCCTTCTCCTCTTGCCTTCTATCTTTCCTAGTATTTGAGTCTTTTCCAGTAAGTCAGCTCTTCACATCAGATGGCTTCCAGTTCAGAAAATGAAAAGTGAAAGTATTAGTCGCTCAGTCATGTCTGACTCTGCAATCCCATGGATTGTAGCCCACCAGGCTTCTCTGTCCATGGGATTCTCCAGGCAAGAATACCAGAATGGGTAGCCATTCCCTTCTCCAGGGGATCTTTCCCACCCACGGATCAAAACCAGGTCTCCCCACTGCAGGCAGATTCTTTACCTTGCCACCAAGGAAGTCCAACAGTCCTTGGGAAGTCCCTAAATATGATTTTTTTAAAACAGTTTCATTCTATTGGGTGACACTAAGTATCATAAGTTTTCCTGGGAGAATATTTTTCAAATTAAAAATAGAAGTGGGACTGTCCAGTAGTTAAGAATCCGCCTGCCAATGCAGGGGACACAGGTTTGATCCCTGCTCCAGGATGATTCCACATGTTATGGGGCAGCTAATCTCATGCGCCACAACTACTGAGTCCATGCGCCCTTTAGCCTGCCCACCACAACCCGCTTGCTGCAACCAGAGAAAAGGCGAAGACTCAGTGCAGCCAAAAATAAACTTAAAAAAAAAATTAAAAAGTAAAAATCTGCCTTAGAGCAAATTTACCAAGGACTGCAATAGCCAATCTAATCACCAATTAAGAAGTCAGACCTACATTTGATATAAAATTCCTGTTTAGTTATTAGGTTGATGAAATAAAATTAAAACCTAGAACTCCACTTATTGTAAATGCAAAAGAAAGGAAGAAAAATGACTAGCTATCATATACCAGCCCTCAAAACTTTACTTCTTAGGGATTATCATTTGACCTCAGATCAATCAGTATTCCCACTTTTATTTAGACACTTTGTCTAGGTACAGTAAGTATTACGGTTGTTTCATTTTTCTTTAAATTTACTCACTTTTAAATTTAGTCTCATCTCAAGTAATTCTTTAAAATGACAGGTATATTTGCAACCTATGGTAGAATAATACATAACCACTAAAATTCTAAATGTTCACCCTACACTTAAAATCATCTCTCATACCATCAGCAGTATTACATGATGACTGAACTGCTGCATCTTAAAATAGTTGCTTCAAAGGTAGTATTACAACATGAATAACTGAAAAAGTGTCCATCTTTCACATATATAAAAAATTCTGAAACTCAGTACATGGATTTATCACAATTTTATTACCAGTAGTTAGTGAAGGAAAAAAAAAAAAAAAGCTTCAGGTTGCTACTTCTGCTTTTTCTGTGTCTTCGTTTGTCTACTTTTCTTCTGTCCTTTTTTTTTCTTCTTCATGAGAACAGCTTTTTCTCCAACAAACAAACCTTTAGAATTTTGTGCACTTTTTGAAGCAAAGTTAAGTCCCTGCTTAGGTTTACTGACGTTCTTCAAACTAGGATTTGAATTTTGTTTTAACTTTTCTTTATGGACAGAACGCATGACTCTAAGTTTTCTTCCCATCAATTCAGAATTATTTAATTTCAGAGCAAGATGAACAGCATCTGTATTCTGTAATAAAAATCAATTTATTTAATTTTACAGAAACTCATCTGCAAAGAATCTAGCAAAATTACAACTTTTATGGATTAGAATAATCTTCAAGCTTATAATACAGAAACCCCTGTCGGGAATTCCCTGGCAGTTCAGTGGTTAGAATTCTGTGTTTCCACTGCAGGGCGCACAGGTTCCATCCCTTGTTGGGAACAAAGATCTCACCTGCCTCGGTGTGGCCAAAGAAAGAAAAAGTAGAAACCCCGCTCACTTCCACAGGTAGGAAGTCCAAGCCCCAGTGTTTCAGCAGCTGTGCTTGCAGTTTAATCATGCACCCTCATGCGTTTCTCCCCAGGAAACACTTAGGCTGCCTTCTCAAATGACCAGGTAAGGCCACAATCAAAGAGGCTTCATTTTTCTCAATGAAAAATGAACTTTCAACTAAGCAGATCAATCCTATGTGGCCTTTTAAACCAATAAAGCTCCTCCTCACGAGTCTCTTCCTGCAAAGCCCCTGCTGTACTGGTTCATTTGAGAACAGAGATGTCAGACAGATGCCTTCAGGGTGCCGTTTAAACCCCAAATACTGTTACTCTTTTATTCTAACTCAGTGTTAACAACTCTAAATATTCATGACATGTTGGTCATAGGGGTTTACAAACTTATCAGTAGTCAGAAGACAGAGAGCAGAGAGACAGTGAGATTGTTACACCACAGTCATGATGGAAGCATCAGGCTGTGAGTCCCTTCCTTCAAACCCATCTGGTCCTACATACAAAGAACCTTAAAAACAGTCACATGTCTTGATCTGGTTAGTGATAACCCACTGGGGAACTTTCCTAAAGAAGTAATCCAAAAATGGAGGCAACAATTCGAAGGAAAAAACAATCGCTCCAATTTCATTATTATAGGGAAAAAGAGAAGACAGTACATATGTGTGACATTTGGGAAACACTAGGGAAGACAGTATAAATTATGTTACATCCCTCAATGGAACATACTTACACAACAGAGAACAGCATAAAGGCAGGTTACAGAACCTTATGTTCACAAGTATTAAGTATGACCATAAAAAGGCAGAGGTAAAAAAAAAAAAAAAGCAGAGGTAAACACTGAGAGGAAATGTGTGAAGGGGTGATTGCAGAGGGAAGAAAAACTTAAGAGCCTTTGGGTTGTACATGTATTCCAGTAATTTCAGACCCAAGGTACTGGCTAATTTTTAGCAAACTAAACATAAACTGTGTAACAAAAACTAAAATTTTCTTCTAGCTGAGTGAACAGTCAATTTTCTCCTTTTACAGAAGGTAGAGGTTTGGGGATTTAATACCTTTAATGTTGTTGTTGAGTCACTAAGTTGTGTCTGACTCTTAGAGACCCCATGAATTGTAGCCCACCAGGCTCCTCTGCCCATGGGATTTCCCAAGCAAAAACTAGAGTGGGTTGCCATTTCCTTCTCTAGGGGATTTTCCCCAATCCAGGGACCGAACCTGCATCTCCTGCACGGGCAGGTGGATTCTGTCCTGCTGAGCCACCAGGGAAGCCCAGCACTTTCAAAAGCCAGCATCTAAAACATTATTTAATGAAACAACTGACAAAGGATTAATTTCCAAAATATACAAGCAGCTCATGCAGTTCAATACCAGAAAAACAACCCAATCAAAAAGTAGGCAGAAGACCTAGCGCACATTTCTCCAAAGACATACAGATGGCTAATAAACACACGAAAAGATGCTCAACATCCCTCACATTAGAGAAATGCAAATCAAACTACAATGAGCTATCACTTCAACTAGTCAGAATGGTCATCATCAAAAAGTCTACAAACAATAAATGCTGGACAGGGTGTGGACAAATGGCAACCTCTTTGCAACAAATGGCAACTGTTGGGAATGTAAATTGATGCAGCCACTATGAAGAACGTATGGAGATTCCTTGAAAGACTAGGAATAAACCTATCATTTGACCCAACAATCCCACCACTGGGCATAAGCCCCGAAGAAACCATAACCGAAAAAGATGCGTATAGTACCCTAATGTTCAGTGCAGCACTATTTACAATAGCTAGGACAGGGAAGCAACCTAGATGGCCATCGACAGATGACTGGGTGAAGAAGTTGTGGTACATGTACACAATGGAATATTACTCAGCCATAGAAAGAAAGCCATCTGAGTCAGTTTTAATGAGGTGGATTAAAATAGAGTCTATTATACAAAGTAAGTCAGAAAAACAATAGAAAATATTAATACATATATATGGAATCTAGAAAGATGGTACTGATGAACCTATTTGCAGGGCAGCAGTGGAAATGCAGACATAGAGAACAGAGTTATGGACACAGTGGGGGAAAGAGAGGGCCTGAATTGAGAGAAACATACTACCTGGAAACATACTAACACATGTAAAATAGCCAGTCAGTGGGAATTTGCTATATGATGCAGGGGGCACAGAGTTGGTGCTCTGTGAAAACTTAGAGGGGCGGGATGGGTGGGAGGTGGCAGTGAGGTTCAGGAAGCAGGGGACATATATACACCTGTAGCTGATTCATGCTGATGAATGGCAAAACCAACAGAGTACTGTAAAGCAATTATCCTCCAGTTAAGAATAAATAAGAAAGATACAAAAGTCAAAATCAATCAATAAATAAAACATTATTTCATTACATTAACATGGAGAAACAACCAGGACGTCACACGGTTAGACGCAGTTTTAGAAACCGCTCTATTTTGGCAGGTTATGAACTCACTTAAGGTGCAGTTTGAGGGTGACAGTGAGAGCTACGGCTGAACGACGGGACAGAAGGGACCGCCTCCCCCAGCATGTCTCAAGGACGGTGATGACACATTAACCTCCGTACCTCAAAGAGCACGTAGCCAAAGCCCCTGCCGACGGCAGTAACTTGATCCCGCACAATCCTCACAGCCACGACGTTCCCACAGGCCAAAAAGTGCTTCTCAACTGCAGATTCTTCAACTTCTAAAAACAACCAAAGGGGAAGTGAGGACTTGACATGGCCTCAAGAAGTTAGAGATGTTTAATCATACATCAAGGTAAGCACAGCCTTGCAGTAATTAGTCAAGTTACACTCCACACTTTCTAAAGTCAGTCTTAGAGCAAAACACTGAGCGACCAGTCGGGTGTTATCTGCATTACTTCAATGACAGACAAATACTTTTTATTTAAACAAACTTACTGTATGGGAGATTCCCCACAAATACGGACCTCTTGTCCCTCTGAAACACAAAATAAAAGTGTCACTCATGAAAGAGAAAACGGAAGTCACCACGAAGTCCACCCTTTCCCTCACCGCACAGGTCTGACTGGCTCCACCTCCTGGCTCCCCTGCCTCTCAGGCCCCTGGTGGGTTCGGCTTCTGCCATCTTTCCCGCAGGAGCATGAACCCCAGAGCGAGGAGTGGCTTCTGCCCACGGCTGGCACAGCCAACACGGCGGTGCTCGAGGAAGGCCTGCTCCTTTGGGGGTGGGCACGCTTCTTCTGTAAAGGGCCAGAAAGCAACTATTTCAGGCAGTCTCTGCTGTACCCCTCGCCTCTGCTGTTAAAGCAAAATAACACAGAACTAATGGGCTTCCCAGGTGGGTCAGTGGTAAAGCATCCGCCTGCCAATGCAAGAGACTTGGGTTCGATTCCTGGGTCAGAAAGATTCCCTAGAGGAGGAAATGGCCACCCACTCGTGTTCTTGCCTGAAGAATCCCATACAGAGGAGCTGGCGGGCTACAGTCCACGGGGTTGCAGAGAGTCGGACATGGCTGAGCACGTAATGGGTGTGGTTGTGTAGCAATAAAACTTTATTCACAAAAACAGGGAGCAAACACTGGGCCCCTCAGGCCAGTTTGCTATTTGGTGCCAGGTCCACCATCAAAGCCAGGACAGTCAGCCAGGCCTTGGTCATTTCTCACCTAGCCACCCTGACACCGACAGTAACACATTCTGTCTCTGCAGTGAGTTCTTACAACTCATGCTTCATTCATTTCAAGAGACCCCAAGGAAAAGCTTCTGAACAAAACCCAGACCCCTCGACACGGCAGGCCGGGGTCATCATGACTGCCCTCCACCTATTCCTCCAACGGCAACTCTGTGGCCTCTCTCCACACTCTACCCACTGATAACTTTATCGAGCTCTTGGAACCCCCACAAAGGATTAGGTTTTGGTCCCACCATTCAGTGTTCAAAATTTTTTTTCCCATATAACACTGATAGAACACCTGTTCTCCAGGAAACCCTCCTTTGTCCCTTCTTGCTGGCAACCTCCCACACTGAGTGGCCCATTCCTGAGCTGATGTTTATGACAGAATTTATCATAAAACAGTGCCATGGTCAGCCCATCTGCTCACCTTTATCTTTACACTGCGAACTCCTAGACAATTGAGACTGTGTCTCAGCACTGAACCCCTGACACAGAGTAGGAACTAAACACTGTTAATGAGTAATTTAACTCCAGACCTTAGTCTATAAATAAGGTGCTGGCTCCGATGCTCTTTAATATACCTTCCAGCCACACTCTCTAGGATTATTGGATCTGACGTAGGAGTGGGAACCACTTTTTTTAATTAATTAATTTTAATTGGAGGCTAATTACTTTACAATACTGTGGTGGTTTTTGCCAGACATTGACATGAATCAGCCATGAGTGTACATGTGTCCCCCATCCCAACCTCCTTCCTACCTCCCTCCCCATCCCATCCCTCTGGGTCATCCCAGTGCACCAGCTCTGAGCACCCTGTCTCATGCATCGAACCTGGACTGGCGATCTGTTTCACATATGATAATATACATGTTTCAATGCTATTCTCTCAAATCATCCCACCCGTGCCTTCTCTCACTGAGTCCAAAAGTCTGGGGAACCACTTTCTTGAAGCTAATGCTGACTTGGACTTCCCTGGTAGTCCAATGGTTAAGACTCTATGCTTCCAACGTAGGGAGTGCAGGTTCAATCCCTGGTTTGGGGAACTAAGATCCTACATGCCACAAGGCACAACCAAATAGAAAAAAAAAAATCAAAAGCTAAAGGCTTCCCAGGTGGTTTAGTAGTAAAGAATCCACCTGTCAATGCAGGAGATGTGGGTTCCATCCCTGGCTTGAGAAGATCCCCTGGAGGAGACATGGTAACCCGCTCCAGTGTTCTTGCCTGGGAAATCCCATGGACAGAGGAGCCTGGTGGGCTACGGTCGATGGGGCTGCAAAGAGTTGGACACGACTGAAGTGGCTGAGCATAAGCAGGAACGAGCAATGCTGACTTAAGCCCTCGCCCGCCCCAGGTGCCCACGCTGAGACCACAGAGGGCAGAAGCGGTTTCCTCTAATTCCCTCACGCTCCCGGCTAACCCAACTCTTCTCCCAGCACAAGCTCAGAAGAAAATGTTCTTGAGACAGGGCAAGAACTACTTACGGAGGAGGTCTCGGTTGCAAGATCCACTCTAACACGAAATCCTTCTGCAAACTGGGCCCCATTTCTGTTATAAATATGAAGGGAAAATGGTTATTAAAAGCAGGCACTGAGCTACTGGAGTATTTAATCTGAAGTGAATCCAAAGAATAAAGACAGAATGGACTCAGAATAATTCTGCTCAAACATCAAAGAGACGAAATTACCTTTCCAGTGCTTTTGTAGCAGCACTCTCATCCTTAAACACAACATAAGCATTAATATTTTTCTGATCGGGATGAATTTTACGCCTACATTAAAAAAAAAAAAAAAGACTGTAAAATTTGCTAATCCCAAAGTCACTAAAATAAATACAGCTCGTTTTACACTCTCAATCAACACCTGTGACAAGAATTTCTGGGAGGATTTTCATAAATTCTTTTCAAAAACATTTAGTAATAACCCAAAAGCTAACACACAACTGGTACAGATAATGGTGAAACACGTGACCCATGCCCTCTTCCCGGTCGTCACTCTGAGAAAGCAGGAGCCCACCCCAGGCAATCCCACCACATCACAAACTGTCACCTTAGCTGCAGCTCTGGATCTAATACACACACAAATGGGAAAAAAACTTGCTTTTTCCTTTTTACTGTAAAATAAAAGCTGTACAAACCTGTAAACGTGTACAGCTAAGGAAACCATTAACAGGGTAATACCCAAATAGCAACCCACTCCAGTATTCTTGCCTGGAGAATCCCGTGGACAGAGAAGGCTGGTGGGCTGCAGTCCATGGGGTCGCCAAGAGTCAGACACGACTGAAACAACAAAGCGCTTAGCACCCCCTTAGCCTCTCTGTGGCCCCAACAACCGCAGCTCTTCCCCTTCAAAGGCAACCACCACGCCCACCTTTATAGGAACTACTTCCCTGCCTGTCTATGTGCTTTTATCACCTAAGTGTCGACCCCGAGACATACTTTGGTTTGTACAGTTTTCCACTTGAAAAGTCTTTAGAATCCTGTTTAATCTGATTCCCCATTTATCTTATGGGTTTGACCTAAAGAATTTCCCTGGAAAAACCTGGCTAGCCAATAGCAATCATGAGGCACCTCGATTTGAAGATGCATTTTGAGCTTAAAAATGTTAAGGTACAGGAAATGTGTGCCTTAGCACTGATGAAATGTGATGCTTGTGATTTATAATAGAATATTTAGATGCAAAACTTTCTTTTCCCTTTTTTTTTTTTTTGCAAAACTTTCTTATTCTCTTCACACACTATGTCTGATTAAACATCTCAGAAATTTCTCATTGCTCATGAATCATTTTAAGTTATTCTGCAATTCTTTCTGTGACTCTACAACTTACATTGAGGCTTGAAGACACACATCTGACAAATTTATATGCTATTATAGACATCAGAAACAATAAACCATGATGGTTCATCCAAATATAAACATCTGTGAGGTTAAGAAATTATCTCATTTTTCACCAAAATGGAAGAGAATTTATAAGTACTCCCTTTCTCTAATTATAAACCTACTTTATTGCCGCCAACTTTTTGGACAAAGTTCCCTCTGCTGGAATCTTTAAGAGAAAAAAAAAGTATTACAGGAAAGTAATCATTTGACATTATTTCAAAGTAATTATATTTTAATTAATTGAATTATAAATACCTAACTCCGACATGGAATAAAAAACTAAGGATAATACTGAATCAGAAACAACTGCCCAAGTGTTGCATGAATGGGTCCTTGTGGCTGAGGACAAACACTCCCAATGACAGTGCCATATTCAGATTTCACAGGCGGCGACTCTCAAACTAGGCGGAAATAACGGATGACTTGAAGGGGTTGCTGGTCATATGAGGGGACAATGTTGTTGAAGACACATGTGAAGAGTGTTAAGGAAAATTGTTTTATAAAATGAGCATGGAAAAAAGAGATACTTCTAAGTTGGCATTTTATTGAATATCCTATATGATTTTAAATATGTCTAACTTAATTGATAAATAATATAAGAAAACATGACTTCACTCCTACCTCTAAGAGTTTATATAAGTCAACTGGCAAAAACAAAGCAAAACCCTTCAGTATCTGTCCTTGGACAAATAATGGAATCTCCCTTTTTTCAGGATCATGCTATTTTCAGTCATACATAGTACCTAAGAGTGATGGGAACAGGTAGGGAAAACTTTATGGAGAAGGTGGGAATTCAAGTCAACAACGGTGACTAACAGCAATGTGCCAAACACCACCAGGTACTTGAACAGGAAGGTAAAAAGATACAAACTGCCAAGTTCACAGTCCAGGGGTATCTATAAACACCCATCACATTTAGGGCAGTCACTATAAATCTCCTCTGGAAAACTTGTCTTTTAGTCATTTGATAGTTCACATAGTGAAAGTAAGAAATTTCAACTACTACTTCTGAGTTTGTCTTGCTCAAACTAACAAATGGTAAAATTCTCAGAATATAGACAGAAATACAGCACAAGACGTGAGAAATGCCCACATGAATAATCAATGTGTGAATGCCAGGCATCAAAGCACATCTGCTTGGTGCATTCCAGGAGCTCTCGGGGGCCTGTGCCCTGCTATTAAGAGGTAAGCATGAACAGATAGAGCATAAGGCAGTAAATTACAAAAGAGATTCAGAGGGAAAAATTACCACTTGATGTTATAAAGTTATCAAAAAGCCTTGAATAAGTGACATCTTAAATGCCTTCTGAGAAATACATATTATCTTGATGGGCAAAATGAGAGTTTAAGAAGGACTGCCAGAATATACATACAGTGAAATACTACTCAGCCATAAAAAAGAAGGAAATCTTGCCATTTGCAACAACATGGATACATGCTGAGGGTATGCTAAGGGAAATAAAGACAAATACCCTATGATGTCACTTATGAGTGCAATCTGAAAAACAAAACAGGGAATTCCCCAGTAGTCCAGTGGTTAGCACGCTGTGCTCTCACTGCCAAGGGCCCAGGTTTGGTCCCTGGTTGGGAAACTAAAATCCTACAAGCCTCACAATATGACCAAATTAAAAAACAAAATAAAACTCAAGAGATACAGAGAACAGACTGGTGGAGACCCAGAGAGAAGGGGGTAGAGTGGGCAAAATGAGTGAAGGGCTCAAGTGCACAGTGACAGATAGTGACTGGACTCATTGTGGTGACCACTCCGTAGTGTAAACAGACGCTGACTGCTACATTAACGCCTGAAATTAACATAACGTCACATACCAATTTTACCTAAGTTAAAAAAACAAAGAACTGAGCAAAAGGTTGAGGGTGGGTATGATCTGCTGCAAGCGCAGCGCCCAGGCTGCAGGCAGGTCACGTGTGGAAGAGTGCAGGGCCCCAGGGCCACCCCGCGCAGACTGTCAGGATGTCGGGAAGAACGAACAGCTAGAAAAATGACAAGATTTTAGGCACCTCCATACATATTTGATGTGAACCAGGTGCTGGTGACCCCAGGGGCAGATGGGCTCACAGCCTGGGGGAGCAGGAGCAGCATCACAACGTCACGGCCGCCTCCTAAGGACTGCGGTGAGGTGCTGGGGGCCGGAGGGCAGATGGCAGGCTCACCTGACTCACCAGTGATTCAGGGATACTGAAGAAGCCGGGCTGCCTCCTCAAGGAGAACACCAAGCCGAGGCAGGCGTGTGTGTGTGTTCGTGTGTGTGTGATGTTCACGGGAGGGGAGGTGGAGGAGAGGGATTCCGGGTTAGGAGTTCCAGGAAGAAGCGCTTTAGGAAGATTAAGTAGACAGAGGTGTGTTGGATACATGTGAGGCAGACTGAAAGCAGGTACTGAAATAGGCCTCTGCAACTATTTTGGCAAGAAGTGAAAACTTAGGGGGGACAATGGAAATAGAAAGGAATGACTCATTTTCAGAAGAAACCACAGTTGAAAACCAGGCAGAGATGACAAGCAACAGGCTGGATGGGCTAAAGAAGAGAGTCCAAGGCCGGCAGTCTGAGCGGTACTAAAGAAGAGATAATCAGCAGATGGCATGTGATGGGGTACGGGAGCGATGTGGGTGAGGTGAGCACAGAGGGGCTGAAAACGGGGTGCTGGCAGGACAACCCCGTGGATGTGGCAGGCAAGGATCTGACCTGAGGAGACAGGACTCAAAAGGGCCGAGACACACGTGATAAATGGGAGAAACCATCACCATGAGAGTAACCATGGAGACTGTGCCAAAGCCTTAAGAAAGGTCCACTTTCAGAGAAGTGGGCAGTTCTGCCTGCTGGGGACGTCGGGCAGTTGGCTGCTACCACTGGCTGGGAAGGATGCTACCGGCACCTAGCGGGTAGAGGCCAGGGATGCTGTATTGCACAGGCCAGGGTCCAACAACACACAATTATCCAGCATCAAATGTCAATGGTATCAAGGTTGAGAAACCCCATTTTAGAGAATCACGCTGAGAAAGAGCAGTTTGAAACAAAGAATACACATTTCTTATATTCTAATACATATTAATTATATTAAAAAAAATCTATGAATGATGCTTCTTCATGTTCCAAGGAACATGGCTATAACTGGTCTACAGAGCACTCAATTGGTGAAATCAGATACCATTTACTTCCATAAAGCTTTAACATTAAACTGATTAAACATACTTTATCTTTCTATGTCAGAGCATAAGTACTGCTCTGCAGAGTCAGGCAAGCCCCCCATATGAACAGCTGTGATTCCAGAAATGCTACTCAATAGGTTGAACGTCTCCACCTGTTCAACTGACTCACAAACAAAAGTCACAGATGCACCCTCCAATACTTAGGAAGGATATCACTTTACTATGTGAACTCATTAAATTACCTCACAAAGTCCAAGGGTCAGTAATAGACAGCAAGTGTGACTCTGCTTTGGCGCTCGATCTGAGCCTGCTGATTCTGAAGGTTAAAGTCAAGGGCTCCTTCATCTCACTAAAACCAACACGTGAAAAAGTCTGATTCACATGCAATACATTTTCAGATGATGTACTTTCAAGGAAGGAAAACATACCAGAGAACGAAATCGTACAGATTCTATCTGTCCATACTCTTTAAAAAATGACTTCAGCTTCTAAAATAAAAAAAAAAAGATACATATATTTTACTCCATTTTAAGAAAATCAAATAAATACCATAAAACAGAATTAAGTAAAATGGTTGGATAATCTTTTCCTACCACATTTCAAGACTATTTCAGGAAAAGTAAGTAACTATTCAGTTAGAAGACAAAAGTTTTTACTGAAACTTATATATCAAAAAAACACAAGTCATGTTACTATCCCTGAAATACACATTTCTACCTTTCAATCTTTCATAATCTTTTACTACATGTAAACTAGTATTATATGCTCCATAGATTCTGCCATCTTTTCACACTGGCTTATTTAAACCAGAAATGGATTTTAAGGATGCTTATGTCACTATGGGAAATTTCCCAATTGTCTGGAACTGAGACCATCAGATTCAAGAAAAACCTTTGGGTAATTGTATACATTATTCTTATGACTGGCTCAGGATGTGACCAATGTGTATATTTGATAGCTCATACAATAATGTCTATAAGCAACTTTAATTCAAAAATAACTTATTTAACATGTAAAGCTCCACGAACACTCTCTTCCCTTGAGCCCTTATAATCTAACATGAAGATAAGTAACCAAACCAAAACTATGCTACTACGGAAAATGGATTATGTTCTACAAAATAACCACAGATCAAAAGCGAGGAGACAAAAGGCCAAAGGGGAAAGGGAAAAATCAGAAAGTAAGCTTCTTGTACTGTTTTAAGAAAGTGGAACTGAAACTGTTCCTCAAAAGATAAGCAGGATTTTGACCCAAGGGACTGCCATCAGGGTGACTATCACATGAACACACACAAAGAACAGGGCATGTCTTGGTTGAGCGAACTCCACATAATGGAGGACACTCAGGAAGGATGCATTCACACAAGACACTGTTTCAAGTGCTAGTGACAGAGAAGTGAAGAAGAAAAATAAACATCCCTGCACACACCACGCTTCTGTTCTTGTGACATGCAACAGAAGAGAAAGCTGGAGGAAAAAACCAGAGAGGAGAGCACTGCGACAGCTCAAACAAGATTTGCAAAAGCCTCAATTAGAGCAGAGACTCTGGGAATGGAAAGGAGCAGACAGATGCTGGAATGAACCTATCAAATGATTTACATAGTCACTTATAATGAAATTATATATTAATGACTTATTAATTATGTGCTTATTCAATAAAGTGATAATGGCCTCCTCGGGCGGCTCAGACCATAAAGAACCTGCCTGCGATGTGGGAGACTTGGGTTCAATCCCCTGGGTTGAGAAGATTCCCTGGAGGAGGAAATGGCAACCCTTTCCAGTATTCTTGCCTAGAAATTTGCACAGACAGAGGAACCTGGTGGACCGCAGTCCATGGGTTTGCAAAGTAACACACAAACACAAAACAAAATTATGAGTTAATAATTTCTCTGCATGTTTATAATATACAGACTATACACTCACCTTCTTATTACAGGTGACAGGCAAATTACCAACAAACACAGTTCTCTCATTCTTTAATCTCTCTTCTTCTTGGTTGATTTGAATTTTCTTTCTTCGATTTACAACTGTCTCATCTGCATCATCAAGTACTTTTTTATCTGCGACTGTAACACTAGGTTGAGAATTTTTCCTTTTCTGCCCTTGTTTCCGGTGAATTTCTTCTTCTAAATCAGCGCTTGCTAAAGCATCTTCTCTTTTTAAGCCAAAAAAAAGAGGGCATGGAAGTCAGGTCTAGCATCTGACAAAGCATAGATTAAGAATACTTCCCACCTCCTTCTGGCTTTCCTATACATAAACTTACCATTCATAATTACATCTACATTTAAACAGCATTATCAAAATGTGACTTGTATCTTTAGGAAACTCAAGAGTTAGCAAAAGTTAAGGTCCATTTATGAAGATAGGTTAAAACTGCCAACTAATAAAGCAACAGAAGATCACTCAAACAAAAGTTGGTTCACTTGAAGATCTTGGGGATTTAGTTTACCTTCTACCAATGTCAACAAAGGTCCATCTAAGTCAAGGCTAAGGTTTTTCCAGTAGTCACGTATGGACCTGAGAGTTGTGCTATAAAGAAAGCTGAGCACAGAAAAATTGATGTTTTTGAACTGTGGTGTTGGAGAAGACTTATTTAAGAGTCCCTTGGACTGCAAGGAGATCCAACCAGTCCATCCTAAAGGAGATCAGTCCTGGGTGTTCATTGGAAGGAGTGATGCTGAAGCTGAAACGCCAATATTTTGGCCACCTGATGCGAAGAGTTGACTCATTTGAAAAGACCCTGACGTTGGGAAGGACTGAAGGCAGGAGGAGAAGGGGACAACGGAGGATGAGATGGTTGGATGGCATCACCGACTCAATGGACATGAGTTTGGGTAGACTTCGGGAGTTGGTAATGGACAGGGAGGCCTGGTGTGCTGTGGTTCATGCAAAGAGTCGGACACGACTGAGCAACTGAACTGACTGACTACCAATGCCTAATTTCATTCTCTGCTCTAAAATTCTAGAGTTACTGCAGCACTCCCAGGGGCTCTATTAGGGTTAACAGACCAGCGAAGTACCTAACTTCATAAAACCAATATGACTAACAGGAGAGACCAGATTTCCTACTGCAATATTTAAAGGACTGCTTATCAAAATTATTGGCTTGGCCAAAAAGGTCATTTGGGTCTTTCCGTAAGATGTTACAGAAAAACCTGAATGAACTTTTTGGCCAACCCAATAAATTCTACCAGTATTGTAAAATCGGAGAAGGCAATGGAACCCCACTCCAGTACTCTTGCCTGGAAAATCCCATGGATGGAGGAGCCTGGTAGGCTGTGGTCCATGGGGTCGCTGAGAGTCGGACGCGACTGAAGTGACTTAGCTGCAGCAGCCCCAGCAGCAGCAGCAGGAGTGAAATGAAATGAGACACAATAGTAAGGTAGGAACCAGATCAAGAAGGACCATGCCTGTTATGCAAAAGTGTTTCGATTTTATCCCACAGAAGATGAGGAACCCCTGAAGACCCTGAAGGTGCCTGAAAAAGGTCATGTGGGCAGCAGCTGCTCTTCAGTCAGTCAGTTGTGTCGCTTCTTTGGGACCCCATGAACTGCAGCACACCAGGAGGCTTCCCTGTCCTTTACTATCTCCTGGAGTTTGCTTAAATTCATGTGCATTGAGTTGGTGATGCCATCCAAACATCTCACTCTCTGTCGTGCCCTTCTCCTGCCTTCAATCTTTCCCAGCATCAGGGTCTTTTCCAATGAATCGGTTCTTCGCATCAGGTAGCCAAAATATTGGAGCTTCAGCATGAGTCTTTCCAATGAATATTCAGGACTGATTTCCTTTAAGACTGACTGGTTTGAGTCAGGATGGCTGCTATCCAAAAGTCTACAAGCAATAAATGCTGGAGAGGGTGTGGAGAAAAGGGAACCCTCTTACACTGCTGCTGGGAATGCAAACTAGTACAGCCACTATGGAGAACAGTGTGGAGATTCCTTAAAAAACTGGAACTAGAACTGCCATATGACCCAGCAATACCACTCCTAGGCATACACACCGAGGAAACCAGATCTGAAAGAGACACATGTACCCCAATGTTCATTGCAGCACTGTTGTAACTGCCAGGACATGGAAGCAACCTAGATGCCCATCAGCAGACGAATGGATAAGGAAGCTGTGGTACATATACACTCAGCCATTAAAAAGAATTCATTTGAATCAGTTCTAATGAGATGGATGAAACTGGAGCCCATTACACAGAGTGAAGTAAGCCAGAAAGATAAAGGCCAATACAGTATACTAACGCATATATATGGAATTTAAAAAGATGGTAACGATAACCCTATATGCAAAACAGAAAAAGAGACACAGATGTACAGAACAGACTTTTGGACTCTGTGGGATAAGGCGAGGGTGGAATGATCTGAGAGAACAGCATTGAAACAAGTATACTATCAAGGGTGAAATAGATCACCAGCCCAGGTTGGATGCATGAGACAAGTGCTCAGGGCTGGTGCACTGGGATGACCCAGAGGGATGGGATGGGGAGGGAGGCGGGAGGGGGGATTGGGATGGGGAACACATGTAAATCCATGGCTGATTCATGTCAATGTATGGCAAAAACCACTACAATATTGTAGAGTAATTAGCCTCCAACTAATAAAAATAAATGAAAAAAAAAGTTAATTATACAATTAAAAAAAAAAAAGATTGACTGGTTTGATCTCCTTGCAGTCCAAGCGACTCTCAAGTCTCTTCCAGCACCATAGTTTGAAAGCATCAATTCTTCAGCACACAGCCTTCTTTATGGTCCAACTCTCACATTCTGCACATGACCACTGCAAACACCACAGCTTTGACTGTAGCAGAGCAAAGTGATGTCTGATTTTTAATACGCTATCTACATTTATCATAGCTTTTCTTCCGAGGAGCAATCGTCTTTTAATATCATGGCTGCAGTCACCATCTGCAGTGATTCTGAAGCCCAAGAAAAAAGTCTGTCACTGTTTCCACTTTTCCCCCATTTATTTGCCATGAAGTGATGGGACCAGATGCCATGATCTTAGTTTTTTGAATACTAAGGTTTAAGCCAGTTTTTTCACTCTCCTCTTTCACCCTCATCAAGAGGCTCTTTAGTTCCTCTTTACTTTCTGCCATTAGAGTGATATCTGAATATCTGAGGTTGCTGGTATTTCTCCTGGTAGTCTTGATTCCAGCTTGTGATTCATTCAGTCTGGCATTTCACATTATGGGCAACAGAGCAGGAGATAGTCATGAATGTGGCAAGGCTGGGTACAGGAGACCAGTCAGGAGGCAGTTACAACTGCAGGCATCTCAGAAGACAACAAACCCACCAGAGCAAGAGAGGCGGTGAAAAGGGAAAGCGGATTATAAGAGATAACTAAAAGACAGCATCATGAGGACTTGGCAACTTATGAGATATGTAGGGAAAAGAAGGAGTCTAAGATGACTCCCAAGTCACAGGCTCAGGCAACTGGAAGGCTGATGGCACCACTCATGCAGAGAAACAGGTATGATGAGGATAATGAGATTAGTTTGAAGCATCATCGCATGATTTGCCACTGCCCAAGAACTGATGCTTCCAAACTGTGGTGCTGAAGACTGTGAGAGCCCCTGGATTACAAGGAGATCCAACCAGTCAATCTTAAAGGAAATCAACTCTGAGTATTCATTGGAAGGACTGATGTTGAGGCTGAAGCTCCAATATATTGGCCATCTGATGCAAAGAGCCAACTCACTGGAAAAGACCCTGGTGCTTGGAAAGATTGAGGGCAGGAGAAGGGGACGACAGAAGATGAGATGATGGATGGCATCACCAACTCAATGGACATTAGTTTGAGCAAACTCTCGAAGATGGTGAAAGACAGGGAAGCTGGCGTGCTGCAGTCCACGGGGTTGCAAAGAGTCGGACACCACTGAGCAACTGAACAAACAAGCACAATGAACAGGCTGACAAACAGATATACAGGTTTACAGATCAAGCAATAGAGATCAGGGGATTTCCCTGATGGTCTAGTGGGCTTCCCTGGTGGATCAGACAGTAAAAAATCTGCCCTCAAAGCGGGAGACCTGGATTCAATCCCTGGGTCGGGAACATCCCCTGGAGAAGGAAATGGCAACCCACTCCAGTATTCTCGCCTGGAAAATCTCATGGACAGAGGAGCCTGGAGGGTTACAGTCCATGCAGTCGCAAAGAGTTGGACACGTCTGAGCAACTAACACTTTCACTTTCACCAGTGGCTAAGACTCAGCACTCCCAAGGCAGGGGGGCCATTTTCCATCCCTGGTCAGGGAATTATATCCCACGTGCTGCAACTAAAAGACCCCTCGTGTGACAACTAAGATCTGGCTCAGTCAAATAAATCTATGTTTTAAAAAGAGACAGCGAGATCAAAATGCTAGAGCCACACAGACTGGGAGACTGCCCAGATAGATGGGTATAAAAAAGAATCATGAGATGACCCAGAACAGAACCCAAGCAAAATGAACATTTAAGGAAGGAAGAGTCAGAAGGAAAGGTGCCTGAGATAACAGTGAGAAGGAACAGAGAACTGGAGACTCAGAAGAGGTTGCCATCAAAGAATGCCATAGCTTCAAGAAGAATAGCAACCACGTGACATGTAAAAGAGAGGGCTACAGTTAGAGGCAGTGCTCCCTATTAAATGGGGCACCTAGGTCAGAATGGCTTCCTTGAGCACTGTTTCAGAAGTATGGCCATATCAAATGAAAAATTAACAACCAGAGTGCCAGTGTGTGGAAGAGAAGATAGATCAAGAAAAGGAAGAGAGAGCAAGGAGAGACTTCTTTTTCTAAAAGCTCAATGATGAAAGAAAGATTTGGGGTTCACATATGTCTGTGGACAGGGGTTTGTTGGATTTCTTTAAGATGAGAATCTTTAAGAGAATGTTGAGAGATGTTGACAGATCAGACACAGGAAAGAGGAGAAATGGATGTAGGTATCTGATGGCATAACCTCTGAGAAGGCAGAAGAGGTACGTGGTATATATAAACAGTACAGGTGACTGCAGTAATCTTGGACAGGGAGTAAGACACCCTTCTCTAAAAGGGGAAGAAATTAAAAATGTGCATAGCTGCAATCAGGAGGAGGATGAAAGAAGTAATTCACAACTGTTAGCAATTCATAACTCTCAGAATAGGTAACAAGATCACCTGCCAACAGACAACAGAGATATAAAAAGCGTGAAGAGAGTGGTCTGAGAGACTGAGGAAAGTTAACTAGAAACGTTATTTGGTACTGTTATATGGATCTCAATTCAAATAAACTGTTTTTAAAAAAACTGAACTAATGGAGGAATCTGATCTCTGACTGAATAAGTTTAAGAAAACCAAACTCACCTTCTATATACATGCAGTAATATTTATAGATGAAACCTAAGTCTTAGATTTGCTTCCAAACAATGAGGAAGATATGAACAGGGTAAAGACGAAACAAGATTTGCCAAGTATTAATTACTGCTGATGCTGGGTACATGGGGTTCTTTACTCTTCTCAATTTTTGAAAATGTACGGGACTTAATAAAAAAATTTTAAAGAGAACTGTAAAGTGAGGAAAAAAACTGAAATGAATATTACCAGTATAAGAATCTCAATTTCGTTATCATCTGATTTCTTTACCATCAACTCAAAAAAATTTTACCAACCTGTTTGCCAACTTCTTCTCTGCATCAGAAAGTTTCTTCTTCACTTTCATTTTTTTGGCAGATTCTTGCAAAAGTGGCCTTTGGATTTGGGGTGAGCTTTCTTCCTCCTCATCTTGTTTCCTTTTTTTGATGGCTTCCTTTTAAAAGTTTAAAGTTATGTTTGAGACCTTATCATTTAGTGGTCTTTCTAAAGTAGCATCTTTTCTCTCTCACTGGTACATCCAGTAATGGAAAGTTACTGAAAATTGATCCTATCTGCCCCAATTTACAAAGCATCCCCTGCAAGGTAGGTAGGTTGTTTTAAAGTTGTCCTAATGGGCCATTCGGAGTAGAACGCAGTGACTTACTTTAGGCACAGGCACGTACACGGGCTGAAGCTGAGGCTTCACAGAGCCGAAGAGGGAAGCCAGCCGACCCGTACTGCCTCTGGAGGGTTGCTTGCCGCGGAATAAACTATTGGCGACTTGTCCAACCTCATAGTCTCCTTCCAGATTCCCACAGGCGCCATCGTCCCGGTTCTCTCTAGACACGGACGCCAGAGACTCAACGACATGATTCCACGCCCCACCCCTCGCGCCCCGAGCTCCAAACGCATTCCCGCCGAGGCAGACGAGCCACGAGCCACTCACCTCTCCTGAGCACTCTGCTTTTTCTCCCGTTTGTTCTTCCCTTCCAGGGCCATCCTTCACCTCAACGCCTCCCAGCAGCAGCACGTGAGCCCGCACTTCCGGGTCTCGGCTGCTCGGCTCTCGAAGCCACGCCCCTTCCGCCCCAGGAGTCTCTGTGGACGCGCTAGGAGCCGAGATAGCGGGCGAAGGGGCGGAGATAGCGGATGGGGGCACACAGCGAGCCTGCCGGTCGGAGCCAGACTTCCGAATCGGTTCGCACCTAACTCTCTTTGGCTAAGACCTATCTTCCGAGAGTAGGTCAGGTCTGAAGTAGGAATAAGAATCAGCCAGGCTGCGAGTGGGGTATCAATCCAAGCAGAGGGAAACCACTTACGAGAATCTCTGCGTTGTCAAAGACAGAGGAGGTTTGTCAGGAAATGAGGTTACAAAGATGTACGTCAGTCACACAGTATTAACAAATGAATCGGTATGAAGGATACATGGGGCTCCTTTGTGCTGCTCTTGCAACTTTTCTGAAATCTGATATTATTTCAAAGTAAAATTGAGAAGAAATTGTGGGAGACCGCAGCTCTAACCTGGGCTTCGCTTGTGGCTCAGACGGTAATCTGCCTGCAACGCGGGAGACCTGGGTTCGATCCCCGGGTTGGGAAGATCCCCTGGAGGAGGGCATGGCTACCCACTCCAGTGCTCTTGCCTGGACAGAGGGAGCCTAGCGGGCTACAGTCCATGGGGTCTCAAAGAGTTGGACAGGACTGAGCGACTAAGCAGAGCATACGCACAGCTCCAACCTGCTCGGTGTTATCATACCAGGAAAAGGAGATCCTTGACGCTCAAAGCCTGAAGAATCCCACTGACAGAGGAACCTGGCGGGTTACATCCCTTGGGCCGCAAAGAGTCGGACACAACTGCGCGACTAAGCTCACTGCATTGGCTCTCAAAGCTAATGAGATTTTCTCAACCAACTCACGTGCATGGTAAGTCGCTTCGGTTGTGTCCGACTGTGCCATCCTATGGACTGCAGCCCGCCAGGCTGCTCTGTCCATGGGATTCTCAGGCAAGAACACTGGAGTGGGTTGCCATGCCCTCCTCCAGGGGGTCTTCCCTACCCACACGTCTTTAACTCAGCTGTACTGGCAAGCCAATTCTTTCACCCCTAGCGCCATCTGGGAAGCCATCTCCTAGGTCCAAGCCTCCGAAGCCTGCTTTTCCCACCACCTCGTTATTCCACAAGCGTCTGTCATTCCTTATTTTTGTTATGCCTTCCTCCACTATGGCCCTCCTCTTTACCCCTCACTGCCACCAGCAAAATTGTACCCATCCTTCAAGGCTCAACTCTTTGGGAAAATTCCCTGCTATTTTCAGTAGAGATGAAATAGTGTCTCTAGATACAAATTGGTGTCTTATTCACCCTGTATTCTGTATCCCCACTCACCATACCTAGTGAATATGTGGCAAACAGACTTTGAATAAAAGATAAATATTAGATTATCATTAGGTAAATCATTGACTTAGTAGTTTGGGTGGTGAAAGCAAGCGACCTTGAATCTTTGGGGACAGACTTGCTACTTTTGGAGAGCTGCTTAACAAGTCAGTGGGAATGTATGTGACCTCTTTTATAGTCCACATCAGATAACATGATGGAAAACCATTATTTATTTGCTTGGCCCTGGTTTTGCTTTGAGTCCCTCAGTTTGACTCCCCATAGTTGTGACCTTGTAGTATCTCAGAGAGAAAAACTGTCCATATCTGCAACTCAAGCATCTCCATCTATTCTATACTGTCCAATGAAGATATTCAATTTTCTTTCAGAATGTCTTCCAATCAGATTCCTTCCTCACTCTAACATTCCAAGAATCACTTCCTATCTGAAGCACCGTAACCTCATTGAATCTGGCCTTCCTGACACTACCTCTCCACACTAGCCTATGCATTCCACTTCCAGATGAATCTGTTAAATGCTAAATTAAGATTTGCATCTCCTCTGTCACTATCACACCAGTCATCACATTTCTTGTATGCTCATACACTGCCCTCATTAAAGCTCTTATGCATATGTTTTCCTCAACCATATAATTTAGTGCTTAATTTTATGATCATATATATATATAGGCTACCCGGTGGCCAATGGTAAAGAATCCACCTGCCAAGCTGGAGACACAAGTTCAATCCCCGTGTCGGGAAGATTCTCTGGAGAGAGAAATGGCAAACTGATCTAGTATCCTTGTCTGGGAAATCCCATGGCTGGCTACAGTCCATGAAGTCTCAGAGTCAGACATGACTTAGGGACTAAACAGTAACAACAAGTATATATTACTTCCACAATTAAATCATGAAACTATTCCTCTGGGAAATTTACCTCTTATACATACAAAACCCATCATACGATGTTAGACAAAATTCCCTAAATAGTAGCTTAAGTTTAGACAAAAGGTGGAGAATTTTGAATTCTCCACAAAAGGTGGAGAATTTTGAATTTCAACAAAGAATGAAAGGCAGCCCACACTTCAGAAGGAAAATGGTTAAGTATGAAAGAGACATTGGTTGGAGATAGTTAAAAAATGATCCACACTGCTATTAAGAACTGTTTTTCTTTTAACCATTTAGAGGTCACCAATACCTTTGAATAGTTTCTTAAACTTTTAAAAAAAATGATAGGGGTTTCATGAAATCTACTCCACTGTCCCTAATCTCCCCAGGTTATTAAAATTAGCAAGATCTCACCCTCAGGTTATTTCAGTAGGAAAAAAAGGTTTTGGAGAACTCTGTAAAAAATGTAGCATCTTAACTTTATCTGAGATTGTAAACTAGTTTGGTAAAATGTAGTTTAGGTGATCAGTGGAAAAAAAGTCAAATTCCAGAAATGCCATGAAATTCTCAAACTCTCTGGAGAAGCTGGGAAGAAACAGGCAAGCAAGAGGGCAGAAAAACCCACCGATAACAAAACATCAATTCCAAAGCTGATCATCACTGTCCTTTAGAGCACTCTTTCTCTAACACACCAAGTAGATGATATTGGGAGTTCCTTGAAAAACAGGGTTTCATGATCAGGTAAAACTAAAAACAGTAGGTTAAGGAAAAAACTTTCCTAAAGTTTAAAATATGCTAATATTATAGCTCTAAGGGCTTCCCAGGTGGCACAAAAGTAAAGAATCTACCTGCTAATGCAGGATACCCAAGAGACCTGGGTTCCATCCTTGGGTTGGGAAGATGCCCTGGAGGAGGAAATGGCAACACACTTCGGCTTCCTTGCCTGGAGAATCCCATGGACAGAGGAGCCTGGAGGGCTAGGGTCCATGGGGTCTAAAAGAGGTGGACATGACTGAGTGGTTAAGCACACACACTGAAGCTCTAAGAAGGGAATGTGCTATATATAAGCATTTCCAAAATATATTTGATAACAAATTCCCAGAGCATTTACAGGGAAATTCCAGGAATACCAGGGACTAGTATTCTAGAATCTCATTTTTGAGAAGCATTGTTCTATAGATTTAAAAACTCATCCCTTAAATGTTAAACTAACTTCTGTGAAAAGGGTCATCACAAAAGTGAGTCAAAAATAAATGTTTGGGCTTTGGGGGCCTTAAAAAAAGTTTCTTTTTGTTTTAAAGAAAGGATTTTCTCTTAGTGGAAAGGTCATTAAATGGGGCAAAAAACCCCTAATTACTGATTTTAAAGGTTTGGAGTAATACAGTGGTTCTCAACCTAGATGCATATTAGTCACTGGCCACCACCTTAAAAAAAAAAAATAATCAATACCCAGGTATCATCCCAGACCAATTAAGTAAGACTTTTTGAGGGTGGACCCTGAGTATTGACTATTGTTTTAACAATGCCCAGATGACTCCAGGGTGTATTAATGGGGTAGAGTACACTAAACGCTTAAGGGAGTCACAAAGGTCTACTTACATTAAAAGACAAGGGAAAAACAAAGCTGCTAGTAATGGTTTCAAGTGTTATAAGAAAAAGCTTTTTTGATTTTCTTCTTTAGACAAACCTCCAAATCATAAGTATTCATGTTCAGACTCAAGCTGAAAAGTGTATGCAAAGATATAAGAATGCCTAAGAACTCCTGTACATAAATCTGGTTAATGGACTTTCAATTCCTGCAGGCAGAATATTCGCTTAAAAAAAAAAAAAATCCTTTCTGATCATATATGCTGGAAAAGTATGTTTCAGTCAGTCATCATACAGAAATGAACTAAAATTACTTAACCTTTTAGAAACAAAATCAAGGATTCACAAACTATGGCATTTTATTTCAGAGCCTTTGCTTACATTTGTACAATATATTACATAATTCTTCATTGTTTGCAGATCCTAATATATACTTTATAGCTTTTATTCTATAAGCTTTTCTTCAAGGTTTTGCTGTCAACAAATCTTTACAGTCCTGTACAAATTTGAATAACTTGAAACCATTTTCAACAAAATTAGTTACTGTAAGCACACACTACAAGACTGAAAATGCTTTTCTTAGAAAAGTTGAATGTAAAGGATTCTGACACGTTAGCATCTACAACGCTTCGAAATTCTCACATGTCGTATTGCCAGAAAACAAACAAAACATGCCAGCTCCATCCAAAAGAAGTACACAGAACTACAATTAAAACAGTAAAACAGTCTGTACAGTAAAGTACTGTGTATGAACAGTGCCAGGTATTAAATAGCTTGAATGAACACATCCGCAATATACAAATGTCTTACAAAGGTGTAGAATTAAATACAAGTGCCAAACAGAACAGAGATTGGAATCATACAACATAAAGTCAATACCAGTGAAAACAATTTTGCGTTCATTTTGGATTTTATACAAGGCATTTAATTTTTATAGGCCTACCGCCCCAATGAGCTATTTATACTTAAAATAACAACCATCCTTTTGAGACAGTCCGTAGCAACAGCCTCGAACCATACTGATAAAGCTTACTTGTTCCTGAAGTCCTCTTGTTGTAGCTCATAATAAAATAAGCAATACAAATGAATTATCTGTATTTACGGAAAAAGAAACATTTACAAGAAAACACAAAAATATAACTGTTATAATTCATTATGAATAAATATACACTTTGAACTGGCTAAGTACAATCTTTATACATTGTTTAAGATTTAATACAGTTTATTAGCCATTTTCTTTTTTCACACAATGTATTATATCAAAATTAAAAAAAAATACTGATTTATAGAAAAATGGCAAAGTACAGTAGTTCCATTCCAATTTGAAGGGGCATGAAAAGCCACTGCAAGACCTTTTAGCCTAATTCAAACCTGTAAACATGTCCAGTCTTTTTTAAAGAGAATCTTTAATATTTGGTTATCAGGATTGATGTCTAACATCCTGTTAACTGCAGGTTTTGAATTTATTACATGTGCTTGACTTATACAATTAAAGCCACCCTAAGGTGACTTGCTTTAAAAAACAATTAGCTTGTACAAATGAAAATAGGTTCATATTTTTTCATAAATAAATGGAAAAATATCAAATGTTCCAGCTTTAACAAAATACAAGGGAATACATATACAGTAAGTTTTCTTAACATGTTCTGGCCACCCAATGACTGCGCTTACTGTATTGTCTCTACAGGCAGTGAAAAGCCTCCATCTGCCACAGTGGAAGGCCTTCAAGTTACCAGACACACAATTCCCAGACAAGTTGGAAACAATTATTGCTTGAGGAAAAGCAGTCCATTGTACTTTTTCTTCATAAAAAAAGTGCACTTAAGTGCCAAGTCAGCTTGTCAAGAAACAATTTTTAAATATAAAATAGTGCTTGTCTGATTTTGTGCCACTGTGCAGTATAAAAAGGCGTGGCCCTCAACAGCCTAAGTGCGGAGTGCCTCAGCAAGTCCCGCCGTCACCTGCACTCAACCGACACCCCGTTCTGTGATGCGCTGGACATCGACGGTTCAGCTAGCGTCAACATGACGGCGGCCGTTATGGAGCTGGATGAAGGGGACGACGACGACGAGGACGTAGCGGCGCCTGAGCGAAAGGGAAACCGAGAGTTAACGACCGCGGAAGGAAGTGACACACTAGTCCTCGCAACTCGGGTCCGCTGCAGTCTCCAGAACCACTTAGCTTACAAGAGCAGTCGATTCTTATGTACACAAAGGAAAATCTAGTGCATCTCAGGCAAGGAGACACTGCCAAACTACAGGAAGTAACAGCAAAGAAGGGACCAGGGAACGTTCCTGCACTGTTCAAAGGAAAGTAAACTGTGGGCTCAATCCACGGAGATGTGGAAATAAAATAAAGGGTAGACTTTCAGTAATGATGAAACAAATGTCAAAAAGACCTTGGAATTCAATAGGAAGATCTGTAATCTATCCCCAAATCTTTTCCCCCTTCCAATTCCTGTATCTTTCTGCTTCGGGAGTTCCTTATGAAATTAAATGGTGATGAGGGTGGAAGGCTAATTGCTTTTTGAACTTGGGAAAAATTACTACTACTACACATCACAGGATAACTACTGCCTTTTACTCCACTTGGTTTACAAAGCAAATGACACATTATTATTTTCCTCAAAGAAATTCTCTCAGTGTTATAAATCAGCGTTTGAAAACTTTATATGCACAAGGTTAAAAAAAAATCACTCAGAGATGGGAGATAAGAGGGAAATGTGAATCTTCCTCTGATTCAGGACCCTCCTAGTCTTCCAAATTCCCCTCCCCACTGTCACCCCCACTGTTACCAACCGCGTCACCATCTTTAAAATGCCACAAGAGGGACTGGTAAATTACTGCCTATTTTTTTGTTGTTAAGAAAATCTGACTGGAACACAACTATGCCTATTTGTTTAGATCTAGCTTATAGCAGATTTCATACATACAATGATAGGGTCCAGTAGTTCTAAAGAGACTACAAGGTCCACAAAGCCCAAAATATTAATTATCTGTCTCTATAGAAAATGTTTGCAACCCCAGTTCTAGAGGAATTTTATCAGTAGAATCTAGACACATGACATGCATATTTAAAATGAAAACACTAGTAACTCTGTTTTTAAAATTGCAAGTGGAATCATAGTACAGAGTCTAACTAAGTTTTTTTTTTTTATTAGTTGGAGGCTAATTACTTTACAATATTGTAGTAGTTTTTGTCATACATTGACATGAATCAGCCATGGATTTACATGTGTTCCCCATCCCGATCCCCCCTCCCACCTCCCTCTCCACCCGATCCCTCTGGGTCTTCCCAGTGCACCAGGTCCGAGCACTTGTCTCATGCATCCAACCTGGGCTGGTGATCTGTTTCACCCTAGATAATATACATGTTTCGATGCTGTTCTCTTGAAACATCCCACCCTCACCTTCTCCCACAGAGTCCAAAAGTCTCTTCCTATACATTTGTGTCTCTTTCTAACTAGGTTTTTACACTTAGCAATCTGAGATGTTCCTTTATCAGTACACATACAGATTTACCTTTTTCTTTTCAAAGCTGAATAGTTTTCCATTATATTTATGAACCGCAACTACTTTAATTCCTTTTTGCTCTTACCAACAATGAATGAATACTTAAGAGCATTATAAATAAAAATTTAAGTGTTTATTTAAATATATTATTGGGGAATACAATTTAATAATTTCTATCTGCTCCTATAAATACTACCATAACAAACTTCTTTGTGGTCACATATTCTTCCTTTGGGACCCATTCTTAGAATTGGAGGTAGCTAGTTGTCCAAAGACACAGACAAACCATTTCCCAAGATAACTGGGCCTATGGCCCATCTACTTCAGTTTATTGTGCTTTGGCACCATTGTTTCCAACAGTATTGCTCACTTTGTGTATGTGTCGCATTTTGATAATTCTCACAATATTTCAAACTTTCTCATTGTTATTATATTTGTTATGGTGGTGGGAGCAGTGAGTTTTGATGTTACTATCACAATTGCTTTGGGATGTCATGAACCATGCCCATTATTATAAAAGACAGTGAACTTTTTGATTACTAAAATAATAACAAAGGACTTAGAATAAAACAAAAACTTAAGTTGATGGAACAGCAGCAGGGTTTGAGAAAACTAACTTCAATTCTGAAAGAAGTTCTATTGTGAGTAATATGCCATCAAACAACATTGCAGAGAAATCGTTCATGAAAGGAAAAGTCAATTGGTAGCATAAACTTCAGAGTACTACAATGTAGTCTTATGTTGAGAAGCTGCCACAGACACGCTAACCTTCAGCAATCTCCACCCATCAATATCGAGGCAAACCCTCCACCAGCATAATGATCACAACGAAGGTTCAGATGATAGCTAGCATTTTTAGCAATTAAGTATTTTCAACTGAGGTACGTTTATTATTCTTTGGGACATGATGCTATCGCACACTTAACAGACTACAGTACAGTGTAAATATAACTTTCATATGCACTAGAAAACCAAAGAAATTCCTATGGCACACGTCGTTGTGACATTTGCTCTTCTGTGACAGTGCGGAAACGAACTGACATCTTGGAAGTAGGCCTGCACTTTGTTTCAGCAGCCCCGTCAGACTAAAACAACCCCCGTCCCTCAGATTTTAACCTCTCTCGCGCCCTCTGGTTCTTCGGGTTCAATGAAAATGTTACAGCCACTCCAAATCTAACACGACCCACCTGATCACTGCCTTACCACTGCTCCACTCTGTTCACAGTGCTTTGTACTGTCTGACATATTACTAGTCTTTTGGGGGGAAGCAGATGGTAAGCTCCATGAAAATGAATATTATGGTTTGAGATAATTGTTTTAGATAAAGTTTTTCCATTTTATAGATGAAGAAAATAAGCCTGAGCGGTTACTGCCTGAAGAGTCACAGACACAGTTCACATGAGCCCAACCGTCGAGTCAAAACTCCTTTTTGTTTAGGTAAAGTAAGGTAAAAACACTTACTTTCTCTTTCTTTCTTCTTTAAACGCTTTCTCCTCCGATCTATGGAAGCTACTTCAGATTTTAATGATAGATAATGTTTTCTGATTTCCTGTAGTTTTTCTTGAAGAATTGTGATTCGTTCAGCACTTGTCATATTTTCCAGGTCCGCTGTGAATTTAAAACTTTCATTAGTATGCATTTGTGAACAAAATTTTAATATATAAGAAAGAGAATATATAGTGTGGTCACAGAATGAGGTCAGGACAGAGAAACTTTAGAAAAAGGCTTATAAATATTGTTTGCCTAAGTTGTTTTCTCCCCAGCCTAAAAGACTGCCCAGAACTAATACATGCAAGGTAATTTTTTAGTGAATGTGTAGAATTAAAGACCTTATGACCTAAATAAACATGGATGTTAAAATTTCCACATTTGCGCCCCACCCCCCCAAAAATCCACATGTGTACAGCATCACCATAGTACATCATTAAAAATTATACTTAGAAATAAGATTGGAAAGACACCAAAATGTTTAAACTGCATATATTTTTGAATGTTACAACTCTGAACAAAATGTTTTCTCATCTTCTTTTTTTGATTTTTTTAATATGCATAACTCTGAAATTGTTAGAAAAATTTTCAAATGCTCTGAAGCAATTTTCAGTCTCCTAAGAGTATTTCCTTGCATGAGAAACTCTGAAGTAGTCTCTTTTTAAAAAGGAAAAAAAAAACCCAAAAACTTGTAATGGCTATTTTTCAGGTATACAAAGGTTTTACAAAGAGTAGTATAACAGAGTCACATATACTAATCAGCTTCAATAATTAGCAATTCATTGTAAATTCTGTCTCATGTAAACCCTAAACAATCCACTTCCCAGGAGCAACACTAGATTTTTTATAGTAAATTTCTGACATTATATCAGAAATATCTAGTCAGTGTTGATATGTGCCTCAAATGCCTTAACATACTGAGTAAAGTAAGCCAGACATCATTTATATGTGGAAATATCATATGACATCATTTATATGTGGAATCTAAAAAATGATGACAAATGAACTTATAAAACAGAAAAAGACTGACAGAGAACAATCTTATGGTTGCTGGTGGGAGAAGGATGGTGGGAAGGGATAGTTAGGGAATTTGGGGGACATGTACACACTGCTATATTTAAAATGGATAACCAACAAGGTGAAGAAAAATTACTGGGAAGAAGTTTCTATTGCTTCACCTCTGACTTAGCATATGCCACTTACACATCTGAAAACTCCATTTGTAAACTTTGGGTAATCGATTACTGGGCTCCTTGAGGTCGGGATCTTTATCGCCATTCTTCCCGCATTTTCCTGGAGACTGCGTCCTGGCAGGAGGTTTGGTACCATGAGCCTTCATCCCAGTGGAGACTGATTTGATGGGCTGAGTCTTAGTTACACTTTCACCAGCAGAGAGTTCTTCACTATCACTACTATTTGCTGAAAAAAAAAAAATTTTGTAAGCATTAGTAAACAGAAAAGTAATCATAATCTGTTACAGATTGAAGTGGACAATTTAAAAATGAACCATTTCAGTTCACTACTACAGTAAACAACTTGCTTTACAGACCCTGCCTAAAAACTTGGAAAATCATCAAGTGTAAACACAGCAGCACATCAGTTAAGGAAAACAAAAACTCTTCTTACCTGAATCGCCAATAATGTATTTTTAAAAAATACTCAATCTTTCATTATATCTGGTAGATTGCCAAAAATGTGGCAACTATTTAAATAGCTTTTAACTCTACTATATTAAAATATATATAGATATAGACAGTAGAATACAGCATTTTTTAAAATGAATCATATGAAAACTTCTTAATTTCATATTTTAAATTGTGTACATGCAACACTTTCCTACTTCTCTGGCCAAATCAATGATGCACAATCATTACATTCAATAAAGAATTCTTTGAAAATAAATTCTAAATTTTAATATATACAGTGATTTCTTGAGAAACTCCTGTATCATAACCTGTTGACTAAAATAAATCATAGGTTTTACCCTGATAAATATATTCAGTAATTTATGAAGAATTCAGAAGTCTATGCAATAATGTTACATCTGCCTTTGTTGATTAAAACCTCAACAAAGTGTGTGCGAGTGTGTGTGTGAGTGTGCATGTGAGTGTGTGTGCGTGCACGCACGCGCACACACGCGCTCAGTCGTATCCGACTCTCTGTGACTTTATGGACTGTAGCCTACCAGGCTCCCCTGTACATGGAATTTCCGAGGCAACAATACTGGCGTGGGTGGCCATTTCCTACTTCACAGCATCTTCCTGACCCAGGGATCGGACCTGTGTCTCTGTTATCTCCTGCATTGGTAGACGGGTTCTTTATCACTGTGTCACCTGGGAAGCCCAAAGCCTCAGTACCAGAACGGAAATCTTTAACATCTTGACATGTGACTAGGTGATGGAACTGCTATTTCCATAAATTACCTCTTTCTGGATACAAAGCATTACTGTAGATTCTATGAGAGTTAATTCATTTGACTAAATTATTCTGAGAGAACTGTTTCCTCATTCTGATTTACCAAGATATAAGTCCAATAATTAAAATGGAAGAATATATGATCAACTGCTATAGCTCAAAATTATATGTCAACTGACTTGTTGAAAATGAGCCCTCTTGGAGAATGTCATTTAAAAGTCTTAAAGATAAAAACATTACAGTGTAATTAAAAAACAGTCTTGAATATCCTTTCAGTTACTTCAAATGTGGCATCAATCTGGCATTCGAATTTATCCATTTTCTTTTATCAATTCTTCATTAACAATAGCTACCCTCCAAAAAATAATAGTTAAACTCTAAAAAACTGAAAAGTATTCCAGACAGGAAAGACACAACTCCTCCCCACTGTGGTGTTTGGGAGTAAAGAAACTCCACCACTCTTCCGTACACGTCTTAAAAGAGCCCCTTCCCAGTCCCCCCACTGCTGCTCTGGAACCCCAGGCAACTCCTAGCTCAGCCACCCAAGGCTTGGCCCCACTCGGATGCAGTGGTCTGCCTCAGCTCGGCTTTCATGGCCTCGCTGAACACAGCCGCCCGGGGCCCCGAAGGATGCCATATTCACCGCCTGGAAGTCATATGGGCTCAGGAGAACCGCGGGGAGCTGGCCGCAAAACCCTTTTCTGCACTGAAGTGCAGCCAAGCCGGCCGATAGCAAAGGTCAGGCAGTGGAGGTGGCAGGAATCTCCTGGAAGAGCAGCAGGAGGTCAGTGTGGGGCACCTGAAAAAAAATTCTTTACATATTTTCTGCTTCGTACTTTGTCTACGAGAGAGAGAAAAAACGTGCAGCTCTCAGGAGAAATACAATATATATATTCCTGTAGACTGATAAATAAGAATCACTGCTAAAGTCATTAGTTAGAACATATTTTAACCCAAGTATTCTTAGAGCTGCTCTTGAATACACAGTTCAGGATATCGAAGATAAAGATAGTAGGCTGCAGCTATTGGAATTACAGCTCTAAAGCTATCTTGATTGTTCTCTTCTAGGCTGATTTTGCCTGAAAGGATTACAAAGCAATCAGTTTCACTATAATAAAAAGAATATATAATTCAAGCATTTCATAATATATAATATATATAACGAAAAAGAATTTGCACATAAAACTAACAAAAATGTTGCTGTTTATATTATACTATTATTTTTTAAAAAGGTCACCTGATCATTCATCAGCAATCAATACCACTGCTGAATAAGAGCAAATTGCTCAATCCTAGAATCTACCTACAGTCAAGAGACTTCTGTGTGATTTTTGCAGGGGTAGAGACAGCAATCAAAACATTACCTATCCCATATCCTAAATACCCTTTTCTTAAAGGGAGGAAAAACCATATCCACATTATCTTCACATTTGAAAAATCAGAGAGCTCGCACTTACTGCCTTTCCCCTTCTTTTTGTTGTTTGCCACTGTAGATTTATGGCTCCGTTTCTGCTTTTTTGATGGATTTCCTCCTCCCTGAGCTTCTTTCACTCTTTTCTGACCTGTGCAGGCTTTGATGGGGAAAAGAAACTATTAAGTAACACAAAATAAAATCAAGCTTGTCCCCAGGTATAAATTCATTCCACATTTTAGAAGAATAGACCAATTCTGAAACTATACATGTTGAGATTTGTAAGTTATCATAGAAATTATTAGAATTTTTAAAAGTCATTAATGAACTGATTTATTACACATAATAAAACTAGAGTTTTGTAAAGAAGCAAATTAAGCACTTCCCTGGTGGCTGAGTGGTAAAGAATCTGCCTGCCAATGCAAGAGACATGGGTTCTATCCCTGATCTGGGAAGATCCTACATGCCGCAGAACAACTAAGCCTGTGTGCCACAACTACTGAGCCCACGCTCTAGACCCTGGGAGTCGCAACTACCGAGGCCCTTGTGCCCTGGAATCCAGGCTGGGCAACAAGAGAAGCCACTGAAATGAGAAGCCTGCACAGCGCAACCAAGAGCGACCCTGCTGACCGCACCTGGAGAGAAGCCTGCGCAGCAACAAAGACCCGGCACAACCACAAATAAACAAATACACAGAAACCAGTCAAGTGTGCACATCCTTCCTGGGCAATGGTTAACATGTACGTCACGTACAAATCCAGCACAGTAGCTCTAAAAAACTACTTCTTGGTAGGAAGTCATTCCAAACTATTATAAAGGCTCCCTTTTCCTCAAGGATTAGCCCAAGTCCTACCTTCCCTGATGCCCAGGCTTCAATGATTAACTGCTACTCCTAACTACAGTCTCTCTACTTCTAATAGGATCCTCAGCATCTGCTGTGCTTCCAGCTTTGTAATTATATGTATTGTTTCTCAGACTATATAGTAATCTTTTTCCTGAGATTTATAAAGTCTTATCTCTATTCCACTGCAGTGTCAGATACTATTAATATAATGACAATACAATCAATACTATGATAAAATTATGCCATGTTTGTTAGAAAAAATGTTTCTTAATCCTGTTACAATGGTAACATATACAAGACATGACTTTGTTGGTAAAAAAATGGAACAAGCTATTTTAAATGTTTTGTTTGCAACTTTTTAGTTGTTTTTTTAATGGGTTACATCTAATTGATAACTTTTCCTAAGGCTATTTTAATATAACAAGGCGAACCATAAAGAAAGTGATTTAGATATTATCTATATTAAAGTACAGAATCTTAACAATAATAGCCAAATTTCTCTCCAAAAGAGTTTAATTCTGAAACTTTCATCTCCAAGAAATAAAAAGCTTACTGTAGGCTAACCTGGAAGGCAATCTTAAATCTAAATTGTAAAACTTACATTTTTACTTTTAATATAAAGTCAAGTCTTCAATATCTGCTGACAAATTTACTCCATGTGCAGACAAAAGGAGCCATATGAAACAGGTGCTTAAAAATTTATTTTTAAAGAGATACAAATTCTAAAAAATTCTGTAATATGCTTTGATTTGATAAGACAGATATACCCTAAATGAAGTTCTCAAATTGCTTACTTTTTAACCCAGTCAAGATTAAGATTCAAAAGGGCAATACTGACATAGTCTATCAGAAGACAAGCTATCATATTTCTTGTCGAAAACACATCTCAATCTTTCATAAGATATGAGGAGCATGGTGAGGATGCAACCTCTTCAGAATTATGATTAAAAGTTCATTATATTATATTGGAAGCTTCTTTAATCATCTGCAATAAAAGCTTCTTTCATTTTGAGGATATTTATGCCTGGATAATTCAATTCCGGGAGACAGTACGACACACAAACATAATCACAGTAGCTATGTGTGTAAATGTTTAAATAAAAAAAGAAAGATCATTGAAATCTATTGCAACTACCTTTTTTATTTAGGATTTTTTGAAAAATGTTTTAAGACAAAATTATTTGTGTGATAGTTATGTCAATTATATCTCAGGGAAACAAGAAATAGGGGGAAAAAAAGGTTTATGAGAGAAAACTTCAAGCTAACTAATTTGGTCTAGACTGTATCTCTTTAAGTTTACCTAAAAACCTGAAATCAGTATAATAAAATCTGGTATGTTATATAACATACATACCCTAGTGCTTCACACTGGAAAAGTGTGTTTCAAAGCCAAGTGTCAGCTTACAGTATACTGATTTAAAGACACCTGAATGAAGTGGTTTATGAGAAGAATGATGTCAGAAGTACAGCTATGGCACCAATAAAAAGGCATTAAGACTTTAGGGAAGGACAGAATAAACACTGGTCCTTCAAACTGGAAGCTAGGCAACCAAGGAAGCACCAAATGCCACTACAAACCCTCACACGACAGCCAGGCTCGAGAATCAGTCTGACATGGCTATCTGAGGAGAGACCGGCATGGACAGGTGGGTGCTCCAAACCCCTACATAGAGCACTCTGGCTAAGAGTGGATGAGTGCATCAGTAAATCAGAATGTTAGTGAGAAAATGCCTGGGACAATTGCAAAAACAATGTTACAGAAATATATCTAAGCTGCTCATGCCAGGCAGTCAACCAGTATATAATGAGTTTTCAAACAGGTCTGGATTTGGGCCTGGGTGCATTTTCCATTAAAAAGCACATGATCTGGTCCACTGTGAAACGTCACTGGTGGCTGAAGTGGAAAAAACACTCAATTCTCAAGCTGTTAAATGCATCCCACCCTCCATTACCCAGATTACCTTTCACATTGCCATTTTCACCATGTTCACACAAGTACTCCACATGAACACCTCATGCTGTAGTGAGGGACATGAAACCCTTGAAACTCTAAGGGGGGAACATCTGAAAGCACGAGACTGGGGCCTATGGCCTCACCTTTCTCAGGATGCTCCGCCTCAGGCTGATTGCTGCTGCTCGAGCTCACACTGGCATCAAAGCCCGCGGGCGAGCTGTTGCCTTCCGACTGCAGGTCCTGGAGCTCCCCAGTGACACTGTCCACTTCGATCGTGCTGTCGGTCTCACTCTTGATGCTGCGGACCTCTTCGTGGTTTGGGGCCAGCGGCTCTGACACTGTTACAGAAGGAGGCTGCCGACTGGCTTCCGTCACGGTGACTGAGGAAGGGGACTCGGGTGTCGTGGGAGGGGTATTGAGCACTGAATTGCTGCCGCTGCTCGGAAATTCCGACTTTTTGTCACCGACCTCCGCTGGCTTCTCCTCAGTGGGCTTGCCCTCTGCACCAGCCGAGGGCGGGGCGGCCAGATCGGTGTTGGAGCAGCTCTCCTCCTCGGCCACAGTCTGCAGGGACCCCTCAGCCGGCCCCTCTTCTGGGGCAGGATGGGGTGGGGAGGCGGCGGCCTCAGTGTCAGAGTCTGAGAAAAGCTCCTTCAGCGTTTTTTTAGGCCACTGACCCTGAATACTTGACCAGACATCTTTTCGATCTTTTGCTCTGCTGTTCTGAAGTCTTTCATCAGAGTTATTTAAAAGTTTTATCCTTTTTTCGGCCACTTCTGAAAATCCTGAATAGAAACCAGTTGTCCGTAGAGACTTTCTTTTCTCCTCCAAACCATTGTACTTCTTAGTGGGTGTCACCTTGGCTTTGGACTTTTCTTCTTCGTCCTCATCTGAGGAGCTATTGCTACTATTTTCTATGCAAAGGGCTTCTTTGTTCTTGGCTTTATCCTCCTTTTTACTTGGGGAGCCGCTTTTTAAACACTCCTCAGTATTGCAGTACCTTCTTTTACCACGTTTCACTGGTGGCTTTGAAGATTTATCAGCAGTGTCCTTTTTGATATCCTTTCTCTTTTTTGTGACTTCATCTTCTTCTTCATAATCAGTATCTTCAGATAATGCTTCCATATCTTTTCTTAAGCTTTCTGGAGATTTCGACAAGGGTTTGGCTACTACCAAATCTGCGTGGACTTTGTTTTCTTCAAGCAAAGATGAACTGTTCTGTTCCTCTTTGGACGTAAGATCATTCCTGTTGTGGGTCAAATGATCAATCTTAGATTCTTCCTTGCCATGATTATCTAAGTCTTGAACACTTGTTTCATCCTCTTGCTCACTGTCTTCAGCAGAACTTTCAGAAGCTAGAAGAGAAAGAAAAAACAATGAGTATGGTAAGAATACCAGCGACGTCTTCTCTGGGCCCACTAATATAAACAAGTATTAGCTCGTATGTTTATAACCACTTCAGGTCGCTAGGTTTTATCCTCATTTTACAACTGAGGAAACTGAGCTTCAGAGAGAAGACATTCACCCAATCATGAAAACGTTTTATATCATGACTACAGTGGGAGTGACACTACTGTATGCTTTTGTCAAAACTCATCATATTGTAAACATAAAACTCGTGACTTTCATCATTTGTAAATTATACTTCAATAAAGCAGATTATAAAAAAGAAAGAATCTTCTCCAAATTTATGAGCAGAACATAGTGGAGTCAGGATGTAGTTCCAGGATGTTCAAACTCCAAAGTGTATATTCTTATAAAAGTGTAGTCTTCACTTTCAATGTAGCAATGACAACTCAAAAATTTTGTAAGCAATGTATTTCTACCATAGATGCTTTAGAGAACACCACAATTAACTTTACACAAACATCAGTTCAGTTCAGTTCAGTTACTCAGTCATGTCCGACTTTTTGCAACCCCATGGACTGCAGCACACCAGGCTTTCCTGTCCATCACCAACTCCCAGAGTTTACCCAAACTCATGTCCATTGAGTCGATGATGCCATCCAACCATCTCATCCTGTCGTCCCCTTCTCCCGCCTTCAATCTTTTCCATCAAAAAAGTCAGTTCTTCGCATCAGGTGGCCAGAGTACTGGATTTTCAGCTTCAACATCAGTCCTTCCAATGAATATTCAGGACTGATTACCTTTAGGATGGAAAGGTTGGATCTCCTTGTAGTCCAAAGGACTCTCAAGAGTCTTCTCCAACACCATAATCCAAAAGCATCAATTCTTTGGTGCTCAGCTTTCTTTATAGTCCAACTCTCACATCCTTACATGACTACTGGAAAAACCACAGCCTTGACTAGACAGACTTTTGCTGGCAAAGTAATATCTCTGCTTTTTAATATGCTGTCTAGGTTGGTCATAACTTTCCTTCCAAGGATTAAGTGTCTTTTAATTTCAAGGCTGCAGTCACCATCTGCAGTGATTTTGGAGCCCCCCAAAATAAAGCCTGACACTGTTTCCACTGTCTCACCATCTATTTGCCATGAAGTGATGGGACTGGAGGCCATAATCTTAGTTTCCTGAATGTTGAGCTTTAAGCCAACTTTTTCCCTCTCCTCTTTCACTTTCATCAAGAGGCTCTTTAGTTCTTCTTCACTTTCTGCCATAAGGGTGGTGTCATCTGCATATCTGAGGTTATTGATATTTCTCCCAGCAATCTTTTTTGCTGGGAGAAATATACAAACATATCTACACAATTTATTCCTTAAATGTTCCTTTTAGCAAAGTATAATAACAATAGCTTTTATTATGACTTTAATATAACATTTACTGATAAACTGTTATATACCAGGTACTATGAAATGGTTTGTACAGATCATCTCATTCAATCTCACAATCCTATGAGCATCTGTTATGAGCCTCATTTTATACTTTAAGATACTAGGATTTAGAGAGGCTAGTACGCCACCCCAGAGCTAAAATAAATCAAGATCAAATTTAAATCTCAGTTCCCTGATTCCAGAATTTAGAGCTAACTATACTACACTCTACTGAGATATCCATATGCATCCTTCGCTAAGTTTGTTAAACATAAAAAAGAATGTATACAAGTACGATGGTTAAAGATATTCAACCCTCTCACTGTGTTCCTAAGTAACTGAATTTGGAGTAACTGAGCCTGCCTAACTCACACCCACTGAGTTGGTGGTGCCATCTAACCACCTCACCCTCCGCACCTCTTTCTCCTTTTGCCGTCCATCTTTCCAATAGTTGGCTCTTCGGATTATGTGACCATAGTACTGGAGCTTCAGCCTCAGCATCAGTCCTTCCAGTGAATATTTAGGGCTGATTTACTCCTTTAGGATTGACTGGTTTGATCTCCTTGCTGTCCAAGGGACTCTCAAGAGTCTTCTCCAGCACCACAATTTGAAAGCATCAATTCTTTCGCACTCAGCCTTTTATGGTCCAACTTTCGCATCCATGAATGACTACTGGAAAAACCACAGCTTTGACTATATGGACCTTAGTCCACAAAGGGATGTCTCTGTTTTTTAATATGCTGTCTAGGTTTGTCGTAGTCTTTCTATCAAGGAGCAAGCATCTTTTAATATCATGGCTGCAGTCACCGTCTGCAGTGATTTTGGAGCCCAAGAAAATAAAATCTATCGGTTTCCAGTTTTTCCCCATCTATTTGTCATGAACTGATGGGATCAGATCCCATGATCTTCATTTTTTGAATATTTTTTAAGCCAGCTTTTTCACTCTCCTCCTTCACGCTCAACAAGAGGCCTTTTAGTTCCTCTTCACGTTCTGCCATTAGAGTGGTATTATCTGTATATCTGAGGTTGTAGCTATCTCTCCCCGCAATCCTGATTCCAGCTTGTGATTCACCCAGCTCAGCATTTCACATGAGGTACTCTGTATAAAGGGCTTCCCAGGTGGCACGAGTGGTAAAGAACCTGCCTGCCAATGCAGGAAATGAAAGAGACATGGGTTCGATCCCTGGGTTGGGAAGATTCCCTGGAGGGGTCATGGCAACCCACTCCAGTATTCTTGCCTGGAGAATGCCATGGACAGAGGAGCCTGATAGACCACAGTCCACAGGGTCTCACAGAGTCGGACACGACTGGTGACTTAGCATGCACTCTGCATAGAAGTTAAATAAGCAGGGTGACAATATGCAGCCTTGTCATACTCCTTTCCCAATTTTGAACCAGTCTGTTGTATCATGTCCGGTTCTAACTATTGCTTCTTGATCTGCATACAGGTTTCTCAAGAGGCAGGTAAGGTGGTCTGGTATTCTCATCTCTCTTAAGAATTTTCCACAGTTTGTTATGATCCACACAGTCAAAGGCTTTAGCATAGTCAAGGAAGCAGATGTTTTTCTGGAATTCCCTCGCTTTCCTTATGATCCAATAAATGTTGGTTATTTGATCTCTGGTTCCTCTGCCTTTTCTAAACCCAGCTTGTACATTTGGAAGCTCACGTACTATTAAAGCCTAGCTTGAAGGATTTTGAACATAAACCTTTATTAGCATGTGAAACAAGTACAGTAGTTGGAACATTCCGTGGCATTGCCCTTCTTTGAGCCTGGAATAAATACTGACTTTTTCTAATCCTGTGGCCACTGCTAAGTTTTCCAAATTTGCTGACATACTGAATGTAGCACTTTAACAGCATCATCTTTTGGGATCTGATAGTTCAGCTGGACTTCCACCTCCTCCACTAGCTTTTTTCATAATGATGCTTCGTAAGGCTCATGTGACATCACACTCCAGATGTATGGCTCTAACACCATCATGGTTATCCAGGCCATTAAGACTTTTTTGTACAGTTCTGGATATTCTTGCCACCTTTCTTAATCTCTTCTTCTTTTATTAGGTCCTTACCATTTCTCTCCTTTATCATGTCCATTCTTGCATGAAATGTTCCCTTGCTATTTCCAGTTTTCTTGAAGAGATCTCTACTCTTCCCCATTCAATTATATTCCTCTATTTCTTTGCACTGATCACTGAGGAAAGCTTTCTTATCTCTCCTTGCTATTCTTTGGAAGTCTGCATTCAGTTGAGCGTATCTTTCCCATTCTCCCTTGCCTTTCACTTGTCTTCTTTTCTCAGCTATTTGTAAAGCCTCCTCAGGCAACCACTTTGCTTCTTGCATTTCTTTTCTCGGGGATGGTTCTGGTCACTGCCTCCCATACAATTGTTACAAACCTCCATCCATAGTTCTTCAGGCACTCTGTCTACAAGATCTAATCCCTTAAATCTATTAATCACCTCTGGTGTATAATCATAAGGGATTTGATTTAGGGCATACCTGCATGGCCTAGAGGTTTTCCCCACTTTCTTCAATTTAAGCCTCTATTTTGTAATAAGAAGCTCATGATCTGAGCCATAGTCAGCTCCAGGTGTTGTTTTTGCTGACTGTATAGAGCTTCTCCATCTTTGGCTGAAAAGAATATAATCAATTTGATTTCAGTATTGACCATCTGGGGATGTCCAGATGGTCGTCTCTTGTGTTGCCGGAAAAGGGTGTTTGCTATGACCAAAGTGTTTTCTTGACAAAACTCTGTTAGCCTTTGCCCTGCTTCATTTTATACTCCAAGGCCAAACGTGTCAGTTATTCCAGGTATCTCTTGACTTCCTACTACTTTTGCATTCCAATCCCCTATGATGAAAAGGACTTTTTTTTTTTTGGTGTTAGTTCTAGGTCTTGTAGGTCTTCATAAATAAGTCAACTTCAGGCACTTCAGCATGAGTGGTTGGGCACAGACTTGGATTACTGTGATGTTGAATTGTTTGCCTTGGAAATGAATTGAGATCATTCTGTCATTTTTGAGACTGCACCCAAGTATCGCATTTCAGACTCTTCTGTTGGGTATTTGGGCTATTCCATTTCTTCTAAGGGATTCTTGCCTGCACTAGTAGATATAATAGGTCATCTGAATTAAATTTGCCCATTCCTGTCCATTTTAGTTCACTGATTTCTAAGATGTCAATGTTCACTCTTGCCATCTCCTTCTTGACCACGTCCAATTTACCTTGATTCATGGACCTAACATTCTGGGTTCCTATTCCATAGTGTTCTGCACAGCATTAGACTTTACTTTCACACCAGACACATCCACAACTGAGTATCATTTCCACTTTGGCGTAGCTGCTTCATTCTTTCTGGAGCTACTAATAATTGCCGTCTGCTCTTCCCTGGTAGCATACTGGACATTTTCTGATCTGGGTGGTTCATCTTCAGGTGTCATATCTTTTTGCCTTTTCATACTGTTCATGGGAAGAGTACTGGAGTGGTCTGCCATTCTCCCCTTCAGTGGACCACATTACTTTTTCAGAACTCTCCACTGTGACCCATCCACCTTGGATGGCCCTACATAGCATGGCTCATAGCTTCACTGAGTTATGCAAGCCTCTTCACTATGGCAAGGCTGTGATCAATGAAGGAGCAAGTAATACATATACACAGTGAAAACTAATTTACTCTCATAACAAAACACCAACAGCTCCTCTTTTCTTCCTTCCACAGCTTCCAAAATCTCATAACTATTTCCATTCATAGTTACTATCATCTGTTAATAATATACTATTTGTTGATATATATATATAAGCAATGAGAATTCTCTTATTAATACCTCCATCCCCTTCTGCCACACTTTGTATATAAGTGGTGTTGGAAAAGCTGGACTGCTAAATGTAAATCAATGAAGTCAGAACACACCCGCAGACCATACACAAAAATACACTCAAAACAGCTGAGTTAAGTATAAGACGTGACACCCTAAATCTCCTAGAAGAGATCACAGACAAAACATTCTCTGACATAAACTGTACCAATGTTTTCTTGGGTTCATCTCCCAAGGCACTAGAAATAAAAGCAAAAATAAACAAATGTGATCTAATCAAATTAGTTAAGATTTTGCACTACAAAGGAAATCACAACCTATGGACTGAGAGAAAATATTTGCAAACAATGCAACCGACAAGGCTTAATTTCCAAAATATACAAATTGCTCATACAACTCAAAAACAACAAAAAAAGAACAATCCAACTGAAAAATGGGCAGAAGACCTAAAAAGCAGACAGACAGATGGCCAACAGGCACATGAAAAGATGCTCAACATCACTAAGTATCAGAGAAATGCAAATCAAAACTACAGTGAGGCACCAGTCAGAATGGCCATCATTAAAAAGTTTCCTAATAACAAATGCTGGAGAAGATCTGGAGAAAAGGGGACCCTCGTACACTGCTGGTGGGGAAGTAAACTGGTGCAGCTACTGTGGAAAAGAGTATGGAGGCTCCTTAAAAAAGCTATAAACAGAGTTTTTGTCTTTCTTGATGTATGATTCAACAGTCCCACTCCTGGGACATCTGGAAAAAGCTATAATTTGAAAAGATACATGTATCCCAATGTTCACAGCAGCAGTTATTTATAATAGCCAAGACATGGAAGCAACCCTAAATGGCCACCGACAGATAAATGGATAAATAAGATGTGGTACATATATACAATGAGATACTACTCAGCCATACAAAAAGAAGGAAACGAGGCCATTTGAAGCAACATGGACGGATCTAGAGATTATCACACTAAACGAAGTTAAATCAGAGAAAGCAAATACCATATATCATCACTGACATGTGGAATCTTAACTATGACACAAATTATTTATGAAACAGAAACAGACTTGAAGACATAGAAAACAAACTTATGATTAACAAAGGGGAAAAGGAGTGGAGAGCGTAAGTTAGGAGTTTGGGATTAGCAGACACAAACTACTATATATAAAATAAACAACAAGGTTTATAGCACAGGGAATTCTATTCAAAATCTTGTAATAAACCATAAAGGAAAAGAGTATGAAAAAAGACTACATATATAACTGAACCACTTTGTTATATACCAGAAACTAACACAGCATTGTTAATCAACTCTACTACAATAAAAAAAAAATGAAATCAGAAACAAGATATTGCACCCACCCATTTTATAAGAACAGATTCATATGAAGCATTGCAGAAAACAAAGAGTTCTTAAAAAGTAAAAACACTACAGCTGTCCATAAGCATTACGGTACCAAACAGTAAAAGGATTAAAATATAAAATCAAGAAAATTTCTAAGAAACTAGAAGACAGAACAATCAATAATGTGTCTCTGAAAAAAGGTAACTAAGAGTATACTGTGGAAGGTTCAATATTAATATAATGGCAGGTTCAAAAGAGAGAAAGGGAGTAAAGGAGGGTAGGGGAAAGAATATGGAAGTGTAGAGGAGAAAAATCAACAAAATATTTCAAGAAAACTATCCAAAACAGAAAGATGCAAGTTTCTAGAATGAAGCAGCTTAACAAGTACGCATTACAATAGATGAAAATACATCCACAAAAGGGATAATCTCTGTGCAATTTGAAGACATTAAAAACAAAGAGTCAAGATTTCACAAAGATTCAAGATTTCAGAGAAAGGGAAGGCAAAAAACAAGCCATAAAACAAGTCACCTACAAAGAATCAGGGCCAAGAGCTCTGGACTTCACATAGAACACTGAAGGAAAAATACAGCTGAACAATGCCAATAAAATAATTAAGGAAAAACTTCCAACCCTGATAGACCATAAATAATATATTTTCAAATGTGGACAGTCTCTAAAAATTTATCTTCCCTCTTACTCACTTGTTCTTAACATTTGCTAGAGAATGGAGAGCATAATTCCTGAGAGATAATTCTGAAGAGATATTCCTGAGAGCCCTGATGTTTCCTAGAAGGCCCTAATAACCTTGCCCCACTGAATTACCTTACAGAGGTCTTTGTAGACTGACAATGAAGCTGAATATGACCTAGAAACTCTATTCAGATGAGCCTTCATTAAAGTGGAAATACTGTGTTTTTTTACATAGCTAGGTTTATGTTTGCCAAAGGTTTTAAAAAAGTAAATAATATCCTCTTTAGGAATATATACAGGTTTACTACAATTGTAAAAAAAGTAAAATTAATGGCTGATTTCAAACAATAACAGAGTCAACAAAGTTACAGTTCAATTAAAAAAGAGAACTTCATAATGTTACTGAATTACCTTTATAGCATTTGATTTATAAAAATTAAAAACATTTAAAACAAATACTTGCATGCAACAGGATGCTCGTTGTGTTTACCTTGAAGTCCATTAAGGATAGAAGTGATTTCTATGGATTTAATATGAGCTGTATCAGAGTTCTTGGCATCAGTAAGATCCAATTTGGATACCATTTCAGGCGATGGATTTGTCTGAAATGGCGGTTTTGACAAGCGCCGGAGTTTACAGTTTTTAGGAGAATATTTTTCATCTTTGTCTTTTTCTTTGTCTAATTTATTCTAAGTTAAGGGAAAAAAGGTATCCTATGTTAGTCATAATTTGTCATGAAGCATTCATTAGTATCAATGCTAAAACTCATTTTTAACTCAAAGCTGTAGACTACATTACTAAAAAACATAAAAAGAATATAAAGAAAAACAGATGTTTTTTCAAACTCATCTAACAAATATTACAGGATGAGAAATAGTACTATTTATATTTTAATAACGGAAATAAATTAGCAATCAGATAGGCAATTAAGAAAAGCAAACCTCCATTCTGCTAATAATTGATGTTATAAATTCTATAAAAATGAAATCACAATAGGCTTAAATATTTATTTTTTAAAAAAGAAACACAATTTCAATATGGTAGTTTTAAAACCTGGAAGATTCTCAATATAAAATGAGGGTTGGGAATGATAAAATTTCAGTTATCTTCAGCTGACAACTGGAAAGAAACAAATGACTTGGTATAAAGTCAAGTCAGTGGGACATCCTTCCTGCATCATTGATAAATTAATGTTTCATGAAAAAATGAGAAATTTTCCCAAATTCTCTATTTATGAATAGATGGGCAAGGGCTAATATATTTCCTGGAAACTTTTTAAAAATTTGCTTTTAATATAATTTATAGAAAAAATAATTTATACAAGCTTTTAAGTGATAATGTAGAGCATGACGCAGCAGGAAACAATTCTGAAGTCCTGTTAAACAGGACTTTAATGTTTCAAAACATTTAAAAGATTTAATCATACTACAGACTGCTAAGTGACTATTTTCACAGTTCTCCCATAGATGGTACAGAGCTGGTATCATTCTGGATACATAGAAGTTAATTCTATTTAGGATAGTGGTTCTCCAAGTATGGACCATGGGCCCAGAGACCTTAGCACCTCCTGGCAATTTAAGTGAAAACTCCTCGAACCAGACTCAGATCCAGTGAATCACGATCACTGGAGATGGGAACAAGCAATCTGAGTTTCACAAAGTTTCTTCAGGTGACTGTGACACATGCTTAAGTGTGAGATCCACTAACTTAGAGCACCTGAGCTGAAGATTCTGGAAGCACTCAAAAGGCTTATGTGTACCAAAGCTTATCAATGATTAGTGCTGTTCTAATTTTCCTATTCTTGCCAGCCTTTTCATCAGTTTATACCAGAGATCATAATATACCATGCAGTCTGAAGGCAGAAATAGTCTACGTCATGCAAAGTTCAAATATGGCTTTTAATGGCTGTCAGAGAACAGCTTGAAAACAGTGGTTCTCAGAGCCAGATGAGATCAAGGGATGGGTATACTACTATTAAATAATTTTTAGGAAGCTTTTCCAAAATTCACATGTCTCTTCCCTAATGATGAACATTTTAAATGCCTGGGAGGGGGCTAGAACTAAACTGAGACATAAATAAATATTTAGAAAAAATTCCCCAAGTAATATTCTAATATTGCTTCTCCTACCCCTACCCTATCCTCTACCTGAGAAATACTACTCCTAAAACTTGCTCTGTGCAAGGAAACAGGCTTTTTACTGCCACACACACCAAATTATTTTAGTAGCTTAGGAGCAATAGCATGACTTCCACACTTCCCAGTAAAGACCAAGAGTGTCCTGAATTGTAGCTACTGAGTTGCCAAACCAAAACTTTAAAAATATGAACCCAGTTTCATCGTTGAGAAAAGAATAATCACTTTAGAGGAAAAATTTCATACATAGGGCCACTAAGGTATCATTTAGCCAGAGAGTAAATAGTGCCTCACTTTTAAAATGAAAATTGAATTTCAGGAGGACTATTAAACACTTCAACTATATATACCATTCAAAGTAGTAAAAAGCCATTAAGAGATAAAAAATATTCTAAAAACTAGTTAATGGTCTGCTTTCTAATAAAACATTAAAAAGATTTAATCTTAGAATGAACAAGACTAATTCCTAATTCCACATAAAACTAACATTAATTTCCATACAAGCGCATTATTAATAGATTCCCCGTGGTATCTATGCAGTGTGTGCCTCTTGGGGTCCTGTGAACACATTCTAAGGCACTATCTGTAGTGCCAGAAAGATGAAGAAAAAAAGAGCTGCAGCTAGGCTCTCCTGTGCCTTCAGGCTCCTCCTTCTCCGCCTCTGAATGGTTTACAGCTATTACAGGAACCCCAGAGTTCCAGCTACACACTACTTCATGGCTCCCAGCTAGAGACCAGAGGTGCATGAACCAGTTGAAATGGGTAAGTGAGATCTTTGGTGAGTGGACTTACACAATGTTGGGACTAAAAAAGCAAAGATCGCTTAGTACTGTTTTCAAAATGTCTTTCCATAAGCTGACAGTATTAATTGTACTTGATAAACTGACTATTTCAAGAGAGTATTTTCAACTCTACCAACACACACACACACACACACACACACACACACACACACACACTCTCATTCTCTCTCTCTCAACTCACTCTGGGGGAAAGGTTCCTTAATTAAGAGCTATAATATACAGCAAAATATATTTTGCTTTTATTACCTTTATTTTCTTGCGATGTTTTATCTTGGGCACATTTTTATCAGCAGGTCTTACTATTTTATCTGCTTTAATCCATTCATCATACCTAAAATCAAAGGAAATTAACATAAATATACAAAACACATACTATAGAAGGAACTATGCCATATTAAAGAGAAACTCATAAACAGAATCATAATATTGTAAAACCTTGGGGGCCACTAAGTTCAACCTTCTAGTTTAAGGAACAAAGTTACCGAGGCTCAAAGAGAGATGTAGTGGCCTGTCCCAGGACACACTTTCAGCTGCTAGCTGAGCACTGCTCAGCTAGGTCTCTGGATTCCTGGACCAGCACTACTTCCTCTGTTAAACCGAAGAGAAACCAAAGCTGTACAATAACCATTAAGAGCACTCACAGTATTTCCTATATTTTTTTGGTTTACTTTGTTCTTTTCTTAAGCAGCAAGTAGTTCATTTTCCCCTAAACATATCAGGAAGCTAAAAGGGAAGCATGACTGCCAAGTTTTCAGGCTTTGGAGTTGCTGCCTAAGTATACACATGGCTGAGAGTCTACAGTTGTGATGGGTTCTCCACTCCGCGCTGGCTGTCTGCGGGAGTTCACAGAGCACAAGTTACTACTGACTGCAATAAATCTATTTGTTTAAGGGGGGGGGTGGGAGTTTGATTCTGTAACAAACTCAGCTAGAAAGAAGAAACATTAAACCTCATTTTTATGTTTGAAAGTTACATACATTTATTCTGGAAAATGGAAAAATGATTGACATTTTTAACTCGAGAACATGAAAAACTGAAAATGAGCTTTTACATTAAAATGTCCTCATTATTAGAGACATTAAGTGAAGTAAGAAAGACCCTGAGTCAGTAAGTAAATGATTTAGGTCATTACCTTACTAGTAAATTATATTCTTGCTCTAGAGTAGGCCTGGGTGCATACATGCTAAGTCCCTTCAAATGTGTCCAACTCTTCTCGACCCTATGGAGTGTAGCCCACCAGGCTCCTCTGTCCATAGGATTGTCTAGGCAAGAATACTGGAGTGGGTTGCCTTGCCCTCCTCCAGGGGATCATCCCAACCCAGGGATCAAGCCCATGTCTCTTACATCTCCTGCACTGGCAGGCAGGTTCTTTACCACTAGCGCCAGCTGGGAAGCCCCAGAATAGATCTAGCAAGTACCTGTAAGGACTCCCAGGCAGAGCTAGACTGCTGGTGCAAACTATGGCCTGCAGCAACGTTGATAGCTCAACCCCCACGAGGGATACGCTGCTGTCTGCCAGAAGCTGGTGAGGGCCACAGTGATAATTAGAGAGGATGAGGAAAGGATGGAATGAGTTCTAGAAAAGTCTTTACATAATCCCTGCTGACTAGCTATGTGGTCAAGACATTCTCAACCTCAGACTTAAGTTTATTCGGTATAAAGCAAATATTATTCTTTTACTAAAAACACTCCTCTGGTGTGTATACTGGCACATTAGCACCTACCTGTATATTTACATTATTTAAGATTTTCCCATTAATGCTAAAAACTGCATTATGCTTGAGAAGAAAGCAATTTAGCCCCTAACAATATTAGAGAGTGAAGGTGAAGAATACACAGAAAATACCTCCACCCTCTGCAAAGTTGGATGTGAACTTCTAGAAACTGCCCTTATTAGAATATAGTTATGGAAATTAATGCTATGTACTTTAAAAAAAGAAACACACACACTTTTCTTATGAGAAAAACTAAAAATAGTTCATGATGGTTACACATACCATCAACATAAGCTAAACAAAGATATAATAGTATTTTAACCTTTCTTAACCAAAGACTCTGCTGTATAGTTAATTTTGTAATACGAGGCATTTTGACTACCAGTAAGTGTACTCCTCAATTCGACTTGGATTTTTGACATGAATTATATGTCAAATTAGGATAAAACAGTAGCTTTCAGTGTAAGAATATCACCAAGACACTATACCCTTGTATATTTTATATGGAGCATCAAACACATCAAACAAGCAAAAAATAGTCACTGTCTTCATAGTACAATGTGCACTGTGAAAATGATTCCTTTATGACTTAAGAGATAAAGTATGTTGCTTAAAATTTCTTAGGAACAAGGTAGGAGGAACCTATACATAAATAAAATAATGGCTACTCCATATGGCACAGGCTGATGCTTGCTACCTAAGCACCACTAGAGTACAGATGCTATATGGTAAACATTTTCTACTCTACTCAAATATAAACTAAGGATGGTATCAGAGGACTGGTTATCAGACCTTGAGTAATGAATCTGGGGGTGGAAGCAAAGCTGAGTCAGGAAAAAAGCTAAAGAGAAAGGTCCTGGAATTAGATGAAACAAACTATACATGCTTCTAAAATATTTGAATAGTAGTCATTAAACACTATAGTCTTAACTAAAACTATGTAACAATCATTTTTTAAGTTACTGATCATTCTTCATGGCTTTAGGAGATTCCTTGAAAAATTCTTTAGATATGTTTCTTACTAGAGTAATTATATGGTAATATATGGTTCCGTAAGTATTAGCTAATATTACATGACCCCATTCTTATTTGCCCCTTTCTATTCCATTTTCTCCATGCTTTCTGTTTGTTTAGGCATTCCTTTGTTCTAATACTATTCTTTTAGATTTTGTCTTTTCTCAGTCAGATTTTGGAAAAGGAAGTGGCAGCCCACTCCAGTACTCTTGCCTGGAGAATTCCATGGACAGAGGAGCCTGGCAAGCTACAGTCCATGGGGTCGCAAAGAGTCACATGACTGTGCAACTAACTTTCACTTTTCAGTCAGGTTTATGCTCTTTTCATAAAATGTAATAACAACAGTATTGTTAGTGTTATTATAACTCATATCCTTCAGAACTAGAACATGCCTTAAAAAACCTATTAATGAATTTATTTCACAGATTAAGAAACTCAAACCATGGAAGTGAACTGATCGTTCAAACTATAGGCTTGCCAGAAAGTACCATGTGAAGAGTTTGAGAAGAATGGGAAATGTGACACTAGAATGACAAAGTGTGCCAGGTCCTATTCTGATCAAGTGTACAGAGGAGTCCAGACCAGCAACTAAAAAGCCGCCTTAAGCATGCCAAGTAGGAATGAACCCGTGAGGAGGGAGAACAGGTGAAAACAGTGTATGAGAATTTTCGTTAAGGTAGCTGTTTCAAATTACAAATGCCCTTACCCCACACAGAGGCTGAGAAAAGTGAAAAGTCGCTGAGTCATATCCGACTCTTTGTGACCCCATGGACTGTACAGACCATGTAATTCTCTAGGCCAGAATACTGGAGTGAGTAGCCATTCTCTTCTCCAGGGGATCTTCCCAAGCCAGGTTTCCCACATTACAGGCACATTTTTTACCACTGAGCCACCAGGGAAGCCCAGGAATACTGGAGAGGGTAGCCATTCCCTTCTCCAGCGAATCTTCCTGACCCAGGAATCAAACCCGGGTCTCCTGCACTGCAGGCGGATTCTTTACCAGCGGAGCTACCAGGGGAGCCCTGAGGTTGAGACCACCAATGTAAACATTAACAGACAAACGTTTCAGAATGTAATGAGGTTCTAAATATCACTTTAGTTGCCTGACTAATCTTATAAGGGGGAAAAAAATGACCAGAAAATAAACTGATGTCATAACTAATCACTGTATTTTAAGTATAAAGAAATGCTCTTGCCCGTTATGTAATTACTCATTAGAGTATTATTCAAGAGTTCTGTAATGCTCTTGTCCGTTATGTAATTACTCATTAGAGTATTATTCAAGAGTTCCATTTTCTTTACAGAATACTTTCAAAGAACACAAAGGAGAGAAAAAGAAATTCATGCAGGAGAAAAAAGCAAACTGAATCAACCCCAAAATTACTACTGACATTAAATTATGTAAGACAGAGTTAGGCCAGTTTAATTTTTATTTTACTAGTGTTCGTTAATTTAAATAAAGGAGGTAATACTCATGGATTAAGATCTCTGATTCCCTATCAAATACCAAGAATGAAGATTTCAGTAAAATAAAGAGAATTAAGATCAGAAATACAAAAAAAGCTGTCACTGAATCTGTTTATTCTATGTGAACTTAAAACTTTTTATGTAGTATATTTAATATTTATTAAAAAGAGAGTACAACATATTTACTTTAGGCATAAGTAAGTAGTCCAAGAAGACAGAATATAGGAAAATTAGTTCAAATTTAAATATCTTGCATTAAAAAATGAAATAATGGGGAGGTGGCAAAGAGCAGAAAATTGTAGCTTAAAAAAAAAAAGAGAGAGACCATAAAACATGTCTCAATTTCTCTCCAGGGCATCATACCAAGTAGGATATTGATTCATCCTTCAAAATAACCTCTTTATGAGGTGAATGAACCTAGGACCTATTATACAGAGTGAAGTAAGTCAGAAAGAGAAAGATAAATATCATATTCTAACACATATATACAGAATCTAGAAAAATGGTACTGAAGAATTTATTTACAGGGCAGCAATGGAGAAACAGACATAGAGAATAGACTCATGGACATGGGGAGAGGGGAGGAGAGGATGAGATGTATGGAAAGAGTAAGATGGAAACTTATATTACCATATGTAAAATAGACAACCAATGGGAATTTGCTGCGTTGCTCAGGAAACTCAAACGGGTGCTGTATCAACCTAGAGGGGTGGGGTGGGGAGGGAGATGGGAGGGAGGTTCAAAGGGGAGGGGGTGTGTGTATACCTATGGCTGATTCATGTTGAGGTTTGACAGAACAACAAAATTCTATAAAGCAAATATACTTCCATTAAAAATAAATAAATAAAACATAACTTCTTTAAAGAAAACAGGAATTTTTAAAACTAAGTCAAATATAAATTTTCTGGTTTTAAGATGCTTTCCTCCTTCTCTCAAACATTCCCAAATATATGAACATGTTTTCATCCCTCAGCCATAGTGGTCATCCTGTTCCAGTGGCTCTCCAGTATTCTGGATTCTGCTTTAAATACCACAAAGGGAATCAAGACAGTAGAATGCATGTTCTGATGGGGACTCTCAACTGTGAATGAAGAACACTCTTAACAGCTATTCAGGGCAACAGATATTCCAAGAC